CATTGTTACATTCTGAACTGGGCCTTCACAAGTTGGAGCTGGGCTCCCTTGGAGAGGCCTGTATTGTAGATGTCGGTATGATCTGGGAGGTCAAATAGTTAACTGAGTTCTGTCCAAGGAGCACTTCTGCCTGGAGAAAAATCACTGAAGAAAAGCATAAGACATTTAAATTGGATTCTTTAAAATAACTTTTTTAGCAGAACTTACATGTAACTAAGTGGTTATGGACCTAATTGTAACAATCATCTTTTTTTTAAAATGTATTTTTATTGATTTCAGAGAGGGAGAGGGAGAGAGAGATAGAAACATCAGTGATGAGAGAGAATCATTGATTGGCTGCCTCCTGCACACCCCCCACTGGAGATCGGTCCCGCAACCCAGGCATGTGCCCTTGATTGGAATCGAACCTGGGACACCTCAGTCCACAGGCCGACGCTCTATCCACTGAGCCAAACTAGCTAGGGCCTATCATTTTTTTTCTTAAAAACAAAGTTATGCAGCCCTGTCTGGGTGGCTCAGTTGGTTGGAACATTGACCCATTCATCAAAAAGGTTGTGGGTTCGATTTCCAACCAGTGTGGGTAGGGGAGGAAGCAACTGATTGATGTTTCTCTCAAGCATCGATGTTTCTCTTGCTCACTCACTGTCTCTCTCAAAAATCAGTGGAAGTGTATCCTTAGGTGAGGATTTAAAAAATCAAATTAAAGTATGTATTCATCTGATACCCCTAAGCTAATTAATTGCTTTGCATTTGGAAATGAATTTTTAGTTCTATTGTTTTCTAGCTCAAAGTATCAATTATTTATAAGTTGTCAACAAAATCATTTGTATTTTTATTTTATATATTTTTTACTGATTTTAGAGAGGAAGGGAGAGGGAGAGGAAGGTAGAAACATCAATGATGAGAGAGAATCATTGACTGGCTGCCTCCTGCCTGCCCCCCACTGGGAACTGAGCCTACAACCTGGGCATGTGCCCTGACTGGGAATCAAACCTCCTGGCTCACAGGTCGATGCTCAACCACTGAGCCACGCTGGCCGGGCTGCATTTTTAAAATAATTAATAAAAATGTATTTGGTATTTTTCTGAATACCTAATTCTGGATTTAATTAGTCATTGTCCCTTAATGCCCATTAACAATCTCTTTGGAATCACAATCTTTTATGAACCCTAAATGACATTAATTTTTGTTTCAGATTTCACATAAAGAATTACATATTTTTGAGGTTAAAATTGAAGAGTATCTCACCTTAGCAGCTCTTTCTTTGCTCTTAATGTTCAAAAAAGAAATTCAGTTTGGAGTATTTGGCCGGAATAATGGCACATAACGGACTGTATATCAAACTTAATAGCATTTTGTTCACATGTTTTAGATGAGTCTGGGTGCATATCACCATAATAGAGTTAGAACACTAATCAGAGACCCATTAGTGTCTTTGTTTGATTTGATGAATACATGCATACTTAATCCATATATTTCACAAGGCTTACGGCTCCTATTGTGCTGTATAATGCAATGACTGGTGGATTGTGTATTTCATTTGGAATTTTACCTGATTGGATACATTTGTAACCAAAGGAAACAGCTGTGATTAGTTACTGATGCTTCAAAAGCAAAATATTTACCAAATAAAAAAACACTTTTCTCTATTTCAATATCTATACAACTCAACAGTTGTAGTCTTAATAGGAGCTGCTCTTTTATTTCAGTGAGAGAACGTGACAGGATATGGCTCAGCATCCCAGCGCTTAAGGAAATGGTGCCATGTAAAAGGAATTCACACGCATACATCTGGAAAAGGACAGCAGTGCTGCCTATAGTCCAGATTTGTTTCATTTGTCCAGTCAGGAACAAAGGGCTCTGCAGCGTCCAGCCTGCCAGCTGCAAGTTAAGTGTAAGGTTTTCATACAGGTTTCGATGAGATGTTAGTGTCCATTTTGTCTTCCTTGGGTTACTTTTGTTAAATTTTAATGGCCTAAAAGTTAGTGGCATAATTAGAAATAAACTGCACGTACCAAATGTAATATTAAAACAGTGTATGGACACTGGCAACGGAATTCACCAAATTCTGACATCCTGAGAGATTGTGTATTCCTTGAAAGGAATTATAGATGTTTATTAGCTACAAATGCCTAAAGTATAAAACAAACATATTCATTATTTCCCAAGCACCTACCATGTTCCTGGATTCTCTTAGGCACGTGGGACTGTGGCAGTGAATAAGGCAAGCAAGACCACATGCATTCTAATGGGGTTTTAAACAATCTTACCCCTTCCCCTTTTTTGCTGCAATTCTATTCCAAGCCATTAGGCTTGAATCTCAACTTGCTCTTTTCTCGGCAATCCCCACACCCAACCCCCATGGTCAACTCTCCCTTATGTCCTTTAGGCCTCTCTACAGTCAGCTTAATAGTCTTTCTATGACCAGTCTTATAGAAAACATCTTCCTTATCCCAATAATTTTTTATTCTCTAATTTTCTGCATAATTTATATCCCCGCCTAACACTTTGTCCTTTCTTCGCCAGATTATAGGTTTCATCAGGACAGGAATTTGGACTTGCTCATTAGTATATCCCAAGAAGTACTCAGCATATAGAAACTTCCACTTTTGTTGAGTGAATTACATTAACAAGTGACATAAAGGGAATTAACAGAAAGATGTTGCAAATGATTGTAACTACCTTAGATAATAAAGGGGAGGCCTTGAGGGAGGGATTTTTCTTCTGAAATCTGAGTGACAAGAAGGAACCAGTTGTGAAGATAACGGGGAAGAGCATTTAGGGAGAAAGAATAGTCAAAGCTCATAAGAGGTGACTGGCTTGTCATATTCAAGGGGCAGAAAGATGTGTTTTGTGACTCTTCCTTCACTTAGTAATGTTAAGGTTCATCCATACCTTGTATAGGTATACAGGGAGGTATATAGGGGTAAGGCTTGGATATCTGGATGTGAGATCATAGATAAATGAAGTTATACTGAAGCCAATATGACTGGAAAAGAGTGAGGAATAAACTAGTAGGAAAAGGTCAGATAGTTAACCGGGGTCATAGTTTATAGGCTCTACTAGTTAGTTTTTGCTGTGGAACCACCACAAAAATCTCAGAAGGATGCAATAATAAACCTTAGCTCATGCCTGTGAGTCAAATCTAGGCTGGGCTTACCTGGACCACTGCTAATGTCAGAGTTGGCTTGGTCACATCTGTATAAAGTTTGGTTTCGGGTCTACTCAGCTAAGCCAGACTCAGATGAAGCAGCTCAGTTCCACGTCTCTTCCTTTTCCTGGGACCAGCAGGCTAGCCTTGGCATGTTTTTCTCATGAAAGTGTCAGAGATGTAAGAGGGCAAGTGCATTTGCAAAAACACTTTGATTGCATCATGTCTGCTAACTTTCCATGAATGAGTCACATGGCCAAGAACACAAGAAATAGACTAGTCCACCCCATTCATGGAGGTGGGGATGGTGGTGAGTAAATATTTCTGAAAAATAATCTAATATACCAAATAGAGCCTTATTGACCATTATAAGGTGTTGGCTTTTACTGTGTGATGTGCAAAATTGTTCATGTTTTTTTAAATATATTTTTATTGATTTCAGAGAGGAAGGGGGAGAGAGAGACAGAAACATTTATAATGATAGAGAATCATTGAGTGGCTGCCTCCTGCACACCCCCTACTGGGGATTGAGCCTGAAACCCGTCATGTGCCCTTTACTGGAATTGAACCTGTGACCCTTCGGTCTGCAGGCCAGTACTCTGTCCTCTAAGCCAAACCAGTTAGGGCTATTCATGGATTTTGAGAAGAAATATAGCATCATCCGACTGCTGGGTTGAGAGTGGAGTAAAGGAAGAAGCAATAACAAACAGGTTATAATCCAGGTGCGATAAGCTGGTGCTTTGGATTAGTGTTGTGGTAGAGTTGTGCCGGAGTCCAACCCCAGCAGGTCCAGGGGTCCCCAAAGGTGTGGATGGAGTCGGCGAAGAAGGAATGACACGGAGACGGAGTTCAGTTGATCCAGCAGCCCATCCAGGATCTCCAGCCAAGTTCTGGTCTGGATCTCCAGAGAGGTTCTGCCTAGGATCTCCAGCCAGGTTCTGTGTCCATGTTCTCTTGCTAGGTTCTCCAGCCAGGTTCTGTCCAGGTTCTCCAGCCAGGTTCAGTCACCAGGTTCTAGTCAGGTTCTCTTGCCAATTTCTGTAGTCAGGTTCAGTCCAGGATCTTTTGCCATGTTCTCTTGCTAGGTTCTGTCTCTAGGTTCTGAGGCCAGTTTCTGTCCAGGAACTTTTGCCATGTTCTCTCCAGCGAAGTTCTTCTGTCTCTAGAGAATGTTCTGTGTAGGTTCTGTGCCTAGGTTCCATCTCTCTTGGTTCTGTCTGCTAAGTTCTGTGTTCTAAGTTCTGTGTTCTAAGTTCTGTGTCTTGCTGTCTTGTTGCATCTGTATTTATACCAGTTGATTCAATCCTATCAATCTCTATTACAAAGGTTAGGGCGTTTCTTATCTCCATTCCAGGGAGTAAAGATTATGTAGCTTAAGCATGATTGTTTGTAGTTAAAGTGATTAACTACCCACCTGGCACTTAGTTAAGGAGTTTTATTCCCTCCCTAACTTCAGGGGAAAATCCCTACCTGGGGAAACAACCTTTCTCAGAGACCTTGGTTAAAACACATAGTGCCAAGAAGGTGAGCAAACATATTAAGAACAGTATGCCATATATGCCAGGTCCCTTGAAACAGCAAGCATGGACCGGCTCCCGGCAGAGTTGATTAGAAGGACTCAGGTACTGGTTATATTTTTAACAGGGCTGTAAGATTTGCTGAGCAGAGGTGGAGATTTGACAAATGAACAGCAGGATGCATCTAATTCTAACCTCTTAAGTGGTCTAAACTCTAATGGAGACGTCCTTCAACTCTTAAAGGTTATCCCGTAGAGGGGCTGGCTTAACATATGCAGGTTTGTCTTATGAGTTAAGGCCAATCACAGACAGAGCAGAATAATGAATGTTGAAGTCAAGGGAATAAAGTGCTAATGTAATGGTTATGAAAGAAGAGCTCAGTTAATATTCTCCTTCTCTGCAATAACACATTTTGCAGGTACTTTCCATGTGTATATATCGCAGTAGATACTAAATTGGTCAGCCACCTTGAGTATATGTTAAATGACACTAGTAAAGTAGTTCCTATTACTAAAATTGATTGGCTCCCATTATGCTCTAATGTCTTCCTAATTTAAAGCTCTAAAACATGTAATACGTCTTGTCAAATGCTCCTGACATACAGATGCCTGCGGTATATGGAACAATCCACACTATTAATCAGCTAACCAACTTGTCATTTTTTATTTTATAAAATTTCAAACAACACATTTCACCTCTGTAGTCTAAAACTATTTATGATTATTTTAACCATATTTGTACCATTTTACAGAACACACAATATTGCACATGGCAGTTTTCTAATGCCTGTGCCCATGGACGGGGGCATCTAAAAACATTTTTAAAGCTCTTTTAATGCTAGTTCAAACCAATGGTCTTTGACCTGAAATGCACTTTGGTTTTTAACCTCTTCCTAACTGCATTTTGCTTAGGCCAATTATTTAGTGGCCGAAAAGCTTGCCAAGTGTCATGGATAAGGGTGCTTGGAATTAAAAGTGGGAAATCAATTACAGATAATTGAAAGTTTATCACTTAAAATATACTTATTGACCCATCATCAGTAGCATTCTCTATGAATCGTATACAGGAACCTGCTGTCTCTTCAATGGATTTTGACCAACCACCAAGATTCCCAGCAAAGTAAGGCAAGATGCTAGCAGAAATCTGGTTAAAATAAGATACCTGTTTCAAAAAGAAAATACAGTATTTCAGTTTCTTATTGACATGGAGTTTTTCAAGCAGAGAACTGAGTCTTGTTTGTATAGGGAAGGCTATTAATCCTACTCTTCTGGGGACCTGGAATGGATCTGAAAGGATGACAGGATTCCCCTGGTATGGACACACATTGCAGAATTATAATTAATTAGGAAATATGAGTAAAAGACTTCTCATATCTGTAGAAACAAAGTAACCTGCAGATGTTTCATCAAACTTACAGTGCATGAACTGCTGTCAATAGCATGGATGAGAAAGCCAGCACATATGATTTCACTTCTGACGTACTGTGGAGAAGGTGGGACCGATGGCAGAATGACCGACTTCACTGCCACGGTGTAAGTGTTACTGAAAGATAAAAGGACACTTTCCAAGTTCTTGTGAGAAATGAAGAATAGTTGTTGGAACTATTCTAACATTCTAAATGGCTGTATTCAAGCCATAGTAATATGGACCAGAAGTGTTTTCTGTCTAAGAATTATTTTACTTGCAGAATTCCACAAAGATGGAACCAATCTCCAAACTGGTTTTATTGTGCTCTAATGGGCTGTAATTTCATTTTCCTTTTAAATGAAAGAATAATACCCATTGTTTTAAAGAAGCCCCAAACAACAAGGAACCCTACAGAATAGAATATAGAGGTTTTCTTCAGTTCACCCTAGTCAATGCACTCCCTTGAGATGATTACACTTAGCTTTTTGGTGTGTATTCCTCCAGACCTTTTTATAAATATATGACATTTATGTAAGAAAATGCACAGATATAGATTTTTACATAAATACAATCATTTAACAAATATTTGTCTATAATTTGATTTTTCACCTAACAATAAATCTTTGGAGGTGCCTCTAGTTATTTTATCCTTTTAAATGCTGGCAGAGTACTCCATAGTATGGCTCTACCACAATTTATAAGATGGTCTTTGGTCTATTTCTAATATCTTTTGCCATAATTGATATTACACTGAACATCCATGTGCATTAATATTTATACATGTGTGGGATTATTTCTACAGGCCAGCTTTGACATCGGGAATGATGCTGGCCAGTTTCAGGGGTAGACCTTAACTGTCCTGGCAGCTTCCACTTGTCTCTTTAGTACTTGCTGTTGGGGCCCTTCTCCTTAGAACAGGGGTCCTCAAACTTTTTAAACAGGGGGCCAGTTCACTGTCCCTCAGACCGTTGGAGGACCGGACTATAGTTTAAAAAAAAAACGATGAACAAATTCCTATGCACACTGCACATATCTTATTTTGAAGTAAAAAAACAAAACGGGAACAAATACAATATTTGTATTTGCATGTGGCCCGTGGGCCGTAGTTTGAGGACCCCTGCCTTAGAACGTCGGCAATGTGCTTGGAGAAGTACAATGCCCACAGAGAAGCCTTGGGTAGATGCCGACTGACAGCCCTAGGGGGCAGCGGCCATTTTGGATAGCACAGTGAAGCCTTTGTAAATCCTAAACCAATTCCTGGTATTTTATTTGGCTTTTACTACATTTTTACTGATAGTGGAATATTTCAATGGTTTGCTAAATATCAGTTCTACATCTGCACAGAGAAAAAGAAAAGGGAACTGCTTTAGGAATCTTGCATGGTGCTTTGTATATAACTAGCACTTAACATATGATTGTTTGGATTGTGTGTTTTTTTTTAAATGATAACTAAGGTACATCTAGAAAAATTTCAGATGAACATCATTCAAGACCAGAAATACTTACATTGACTTCCTTATTTTCATATCAACTTTTGCTTTCTACACTATAAAACATTGCTGTAACACTTGAATTTCATTTACTCACCTATCTTTAAGAGATCTTCGTGATACAAGTACAACCAAGTCTTTGGGTTTGTCACCACTCGCTATAGGACAAGTGATATAATATATTTGATCGTCTTCACTCACCCAGTCTATGACTTCACAGGACCTGTGTAAATAGAACAGTGAAAGAAAGCCTGTACTTTTCTACCTGATTGAATATGTCAGTTACTTCTTTTGTAACCATCCCTCCAAAGCCAGTCTATCTTTAGAAAGCTGTTTGGTCAGAAGAAATAACTCTGCATGTGATGGTGAACATGGTGGCCACCTGGGTCTAAGGCAGCCGTGGGCACACTACGGCCCGTTTGAAATGAATAAAACTAAAAAAATAAAAAGACCGTACCCTTTTATGTAATGATGTTTACTTTGAATTTATATTAGTTCACACAAACACTCCATCCATGCTTTTGTTCCGGCCCTCCGGTCCAGTTTAAGAACCCATTGTGGCCCTCGAGTCAAAAAGTTTGCCCACCCCTGGTCTAAGGTCACTGGCCACAACACTTCAGAGAAAGGCATTAAGCTGTTTTCCACAAAAATTATTTTCTGTAGGATCAAGTAATAACATTTTGAAGACTAGCGAATTATATGGACAGTCCAAGAAGAACTCAGGTAAAGGGATATGGTATATTAGAAAGAACACTAAGTTTGGAATCAAACAACTTGCCTTTGAATCCTGGACTGCCATTTAGTAGATGTGTTATGTTAGGGCAAGTCACTTTACTTTGTCACTTTGTTTTTTCTATCTGTAAAATGTAGATAATAATACCTTTGGGGTTATTGTGAGGATTAAATCCACACACCTGGCACAGTAGGTACATAAGAAAAGTAAGTTGAATAAGAATTCATTCCTCCATTATTCAAGTTAAATAGGGCTAGAATGTCAGGTGACATAGCAAATAGAGGGAGAAACATTTGAAAAGAGTTAACAACAAAGTTTAGGCATTGTTCCTACTAAAAGCTTTGTACTTACAGAGTATCTACAAATACCGATGCAAGAAAATCATGAAGTGTTTCTCTTCTCTTGGAATGTTTTATTATGACAGCATGAACCATATTGTATCATTCAGGCACCATGCAATGTAACACATGGCCCTGGAGCCGTTTCACTTTCGTGGTCTTAAATGCTCTATTACATGGTATTAATCATGATGAGGTTCAGTCATTTTAAAGATGAACCTCTACCTCACGAGGACTAGGAAGTCAACAGCAATGCCTACTATTACAGGAAGCCCACCTCACCAGTCCTTCCCTTGCAGCAAGGTGTCCTGGAAGCCCTGAGTGGGCCCAGGAGCTGGAACTCCTTGGAGAGGCTGTGTGGCCTGAGTGTGGTCAGTCCCTGTCAGTACAGTTGACAAGGTACACAGCTCCCTCTTCCAGGAAAGGAGGGCAAGTAGAGGAGACTGAATTAGGGAAGCAGGAGACAGAGGTAACAGAAGTAAGAGATGTAGGCTGACGGGAGTGGCCCCTGATCAGGGAGAGCAGGAAGGAATGCCTTTCACCTCCGTTCTCACACAGCTTCCTCCCAGCTTCTCACCTGGGAGTGCTGCTTCACAGAAAAACAAAACAAAGGGACCACCAAGTCAATATCAAGAGTGTGAAGTGAGAAGAACAGTTCGATAATCATTTCCTCCAGAGCAGTGAAACTGTTCAAGTGTGGAAGTCAGAGCCTGATACACCTGGGCTCCAATTGGGGTTCCATCGCTTCACTGCTGTGCTATCTTGGCAATCTCCCTCATTAAATGAAAATATTATCAAACTTGAAGAGTTATTGGCAGGATTACAATAGATGTGGGTAAAGCATGTCGACTCACTATAGATGATAAATAAGTGATTATAATAACTTGGTTTTGTGTTTCTTAATAGCACCTAATGTCATTTTCTATGCAGAGCAAGCTTTAAAAAATAGACTTTAATGAATAAAATGAGGTCACATGTTGGCAATGGAGATGCAATGCAATCTGGAGGTTATCTTTTCTATCATGTCAGGGTTGATTAAGAAAATGTTTTAAATTTATTCTTACACATAATGGGGGTCCCACAAAGGTCGCTTGGTAAAGTCAGACAACAGATGATAAGCCAAGTGTGCCGGTTTTTCCACGTGCTTTTCAACCCAAACAGATAAAATATCCTGTTCTTCCAGAGTATATATTTTTATCTAAAAGATAATAAAAATAAATTACAAAAGAAAAATGGATGTTTTTACTTAAAAGCATCACACATGTGCCCCGCTGGTGTGGCTCAGTGGTTGACCTATGAACCAGGTTAACCTATGACTTATGAACCAGGTCACAGTTCGATTCCCTGTCAGGGCACATGCCCGGGTTGCAGGCTTGATTCCCAGTGGGGGGCATGCAGGAGGCAGCCAATCAGTGACCCTCTGTCATCATTGATGTTTCTATCTCTCCCTCTCCCTTTCTCTCCAAAATCATTAAAAACCTATTTTTAAAAAACCACCATGGACATACATATGTAGTTATAGGCTGCTGGCATCCAAATAACAATGAAGCCAATGATGGCAACTTCAAACACTTGGATGTCTAGGGCTCTAACCAGGATGCTGTACTTCCGTATTCTCCAAACAACATGTGACTTGAAGGTGGGTTATTTAATTATTGTGCAATAGTTCAGGAACAACAGAAAATATCATCAGATTGTTAGGCCGTGTCCCCTGCTAAGACCTTGGAGCTGAGGCTGAGATTCAGGTGTGCCTTCTCGTGGGCCGAGGTGACCCCAGGAGGTCAGCTGAACACCTCTAGAACCAACTCAACCACTCAGTGCAGCCGCTGAAGCACCATGTTTCTTCAGCACAAAGCGTTCTTTCAATAGTGCCTCATAGGGCAGGCCAATTCCTGAGTTTCTTTCTACTGTCTATTGTTCCTTAGCTCAGAGGAGGCCCATCTTGGAGACCCATGTGACTTATACTGAAACATTACTGTATCCCTGTTACTCTGAACTCTCCTTCTACTGTGCTTTTGCCAATAATCAGAGACATGTGTTCCACTAAGCACACATTTCTCTCCTGCCCCTTTTAAATTTCCATCTCTTTCAGGGTGCTTTGAAGTTAGTGTTGAAACTTGTCATCTTATAATAATTCCCATGGCAACAAGCTGTGCGAAGACAAACAAACACAGGGTTAAGACTTCACTGCAGGAATCAAGCAGATGGAATAATCAAGCTGTGAGGGAGAAAACCTTTATTTAAACATAAATATCTTCCAGAAGAGAATGAAGCAATGAGAAAGTGACCACAGCGGCTCAGAAGGGAAAGAAAGGACTATTTGCTTCTACCATTTTACCTCTCCGGTTGACCTCAGTGCCAAGCCTGTCTTTCAATAGAGCCCATGGAGGAGAATATAATGTCGGCCCAGAGCACTTATCAAAAAGAGAGAAAAACCATGCCCAGGGCTCCAGTTGGTGGCTGAGACTCACCCAGCATGGCTATGCCTAACTTTGCCCCTTGAACAGCAGGAGTAGAAGGAGGTTCATCGGTGTAAATTCAGAGAGAAGTCACCTTATCAAAGCTTGGTGGCCATGCAGCTCTAAGCCAGGCTGCTGGAGCTCTGCAGTCTCAGAGGAGGTGAGGGCAGGTGGCCAAGTGAATTCCACAACCTCAAGCATGGTGTGGCCTTAGGGAAGCCATGGTCTAACCAGGGTGGAGTGGGATGTAATACGGGGCTGAGTACTTGTTGAGGGTTGCACTGTGTCCTTTCCAAATTCATATGTTAAAGTCCTCACCCCTAGGTTCTCAGAATGTGACCTCATTTGGAAATAGGGTCATTGTAGATGTAATTGAGATGAGGTTATACTGCAGTAGGATGGGCTCCATATGACCTGTGTTTTTATTTTTACTTATTTTTTTAAATATATTTTATTGACTTTTACAGAGCGGAAGGGAGAGGGATAGAGAGTTAGAAACATCGATGAGAGAGAAACATCGATCAGCTGCCTCCTGCACACCTGTTATTGGGGATGTGCCCACAACCAAGGTACAAGCCCTTGACTGGAATCGAATCCGGGGCCCTTCAGTCCGCAGGCCGACGCTCTATCCACTGAGCCAAACCGGTCAGGGCTGACCTGTGTTTTTATATAAAGGGAAAATTTGGCCCAGCCAGGGTGGCTCAGTGGTTGAGCATTGACCCAGTAACCAAGAGGTCAGTAGTTCAATTCCTGGTCAGGGTACATGCTCAATTCCCAGTAGGGGATATGCAGGAGGCAACCAATTGATGTTTCTCATTGATGTTTCTATCTCTCTATCCCCATTCCTTTCCCTTTCTCTAAAATCAATAAAATATACATATATACATATACATATACATATATAAATATATGAAATTTGCACGCAGACATGCACACTGCGAGAATGCCACGTGAAGATGAAGGCAGAAGTTGGGTGACACATCTACAAGCTAAGGAACACCAGAGATTGCCAGAAAACCACCAGAAGCTCAGGGAGAGGCCTGGAACAGGCTCTCCCTCATTCCTTCAGGGGGAACCAACACTACCAACACATTGATCTTAGACTTCTAGCTTCTATAACTGTGAGACAATACATTTTTATTGGTGAAGCCAGCCAGTTTGTGGTACTGTTACAGCAGTTCTAGGAGATGGTCACAGCACTTTTCCTGGAAGCTGCTCCCCAGGTTGCAGACACATGCTGCTGCTTCCTACCCTAGAGCCAAAGCAAACATCAGGCTGAGCAGTCACCATTAAACCCTGCCCCTGCAGACCTCTCTAGACTTACCAGTGCCGAGTACAGTACTGCGTGAGTGAATGATATTTGGACCATTCCTCAGAAGGTAAAGGTAGCAGGAACTCCTCATCGCTGCTCTGTCAGAATCAATGACAGATGCAGATGAAGCAGACAAGGAGAGGCAGAGGTTGCTGTTGGCTCCCTTTAAACCCTACTACTTTAGAAAAGCCAGCTTTTGCTTAGTGAAAAAATTCTCCATCACCAATTCTCCAAGAAAACCAGTTCCCTTTCATGCTCCGAAGAATACAGGTTAAATTCTGTTTGTCACGAGATCATATAATTACCCTATTTTAGAGGCTACTGCTTCACTGATGATGAAAAACAGTACACATGTTTCAGAGAGCTGGCATTATCAAGCATCTCCTGACAGTCAGCCCCTGCTATGTTCTGGGACCATAGTGGTGAGCAAAAGGGCCCGTAGAGAGCATGCAGACTAGTCAGTGTGGGCACCAGCTTCAAAGTGTCTTCTATATACCTCTGAAACCAGATACAATTAGAATCCAAATGATGTCTGTTCAGTTAAATTTGATGACACACAAAATATTGTAAAAGGTGTTAAAAGAGATACAAAGACAGTTTTCCTTCTTAAAAAGTTTATAATCTAGTTAGGAGAAAAGACCATGTGTAAAAAGCTCTATTGCTACTAATTCTGTTATCAGTTTAACGTAGCTGTGGGACCATAGTGGTGAGCAATGCCATAAGACAGTGCATAATTCACTGACAGGTGGATTTTAAAGAAGTGATTGTGGGTCGCTGCCGCGTCTCCCGGGACGTCGGACACCTTTGGTGTGTCAGCCCCGCTTCCCAGGTCACTGTCTCTGTGGCACAGAAAATGTTGCGCTAAGTCTTATCAGCAGATCCAAGCAACAGCAACCTCCTGAGCACCACACCCTCTGCTGAGGAACAGCAGCTGTATGTGAAACCTCGCCCCACCAGCCAGAAGAGCCACCACAGCTGTGAACAGCACCCACCAGAGGAGCTGCTGCCAACTGAAGAGCAGCTGCTACCGCAACCGCCCAAAGAGCAACCACAGACCAAGGAGTCACTGCCACCAAGGGAGCAACCACTGAATGACTCAACGTCTAGATATGTCAGTGAGATCAAACATGGGTAGACAAAGAAACCCCCAAAGGAAAGAGAAGGAGGACTCTCCAGAAAAGCAGCTAAGTAATACAGAGGCATGCAACATGACAGAAAAAGAAAAAGAATTCAGAATAAGGGTCCTAGAGTGCATAAACCGGATGGAGGAAAAAATCGACAACCTCTGCAAGAAGCAAGAAGAAACAGATGAAAAAATCAATAACATATGGAAGAAGCTAGAAGAAACAGATGAAAAAATCAACAACTTAAGTAAGACCCAAGAAGAAATGAAGAGTGATATAGCTGCAATGAAAAACACCATTGAAAGTATCAACAGTAGACTAGGAGAAGCAGAGGACCAAATTAGTGAATTAGAAGACAAGGAAGCAAAACACACCCAAAATGTACTGCAATTGGAGAAAAAAATTAAAAGACAGGAGGAGAGCCTAAGGGAGCTTTGGGACAACATGAAATGAAACAACATACGAATAATAGGGGTACCAGAACAACAGAAAGATGAACAAGGATTAGAAAACCTATTAGAAGAAATAATATCAGAAAACTTCCCTGAGGTGGGGAAGAAAAAAGTCACACAAGCCCAGAGAGTCCCAAACAAGGTGAACCCGAAAAGACCCACACCAAGACACATCATAATTACCATGGCAAATGTTCAGGACAAAGAGAGAATCTTACAGGCTGCAAGAGAGAGACGGAAAGTTACATACAAGGGATCTCCCATTAGATTGTCAAATGATTTCTCAACAGAAACACATCAGGCCAGAAAAGAATGGACAGAAACTTACAAAGTGATGCAAAGCAAAGGACTGAATCCAAGAATACTCTATCCAGCAAGGCTATCATTCAAACTTGAAGGGGAAATAAGAAGCTTCACAGACAAAAAAAGGCTAAGGGAGTTTATCACCACCAAGCCAGCAATGCAAGGAATGCTAAAGGGACTGGTATAAAAATAAGAAATAAAAAGCTCAGAAAGAAAACAGCCACACAAAAAAAGAAATGGCTACAAACAAATACCTTTCAATAATAACTTTAAACATAAATGGACTAAATGCTTCAACCAAAAGACATCGAGTGGCTGAATGGATAAAAAAACATGACCCATACATCTGCTGTCTACAAGAAACCCACCTCATTAGAAGGGACTCACACAGACTGAAAGTGAAAGGATGGAAAAATATCTTTCAGGCAAATGGAAAGAAAAAGAAAGCTGGGGTAGCAATACTTATATCGGACAAAATAGACCTCAAAGTGAAGGCCATAACAAGAGATAAGGAAGGCCACTTCATAATACTAAAGGGATCAATACAACAAGAAGATATAACCCTGGTAAACATATATGCACCCAATGCAGGAGCACCCAAATTCATAAAAAAAACTCCTGGAAGATATCAAAGGAGAGATCGACAACAATACAATCATAGTAGGGGACTTTAATACACCACTGACAGCACTGGATAAGTCCTCTAGACAAACAATCAGCAAAGATACAGCAATCCTAAATGACTCACTAGATCAGATGGACTTAATAGACATCTTCAGAACACTTCACCCCAATGCCACGGAATATACATTCTACTCAAGTGCTCATAACACATATTCAAAAATAGACCATATATTGGGTCACAAGCAAAGTATCCCCAAATTCAAGAAGATTGAAATCATAAAAAGCGTCTTCGCAGACCACGATGGCATAATATTAGAAATAAACTACAATAAAAACAACCCAAAATACTCAAACACCTGGAAGCTAAATAGCATGCTATTAAATATTGATTGGGTTACCAATGAGATCAAAGAAGAAATTAAAAATATCCTGGAAACTAATGACAATGAAAACACAACAATCCAAAACCTATGGGACACAATGAAAGCAGTCCTGAGAGGAAAGTTTATAGCTCTACAGGCCTATCTCAAAAAACAAGAAAAAATGGTAGTAAATCATCTAACTCGACAACTCCAAGAATTAGAAAGAGAGCAACAAGAAAACCCCAGAGTGAGCAGAAGGAAGGAGATAATAAAGATTAGAGCAGAAATAAATGACATAGAGACCAAAAAAACAATACAGAAAATCAATGAAACCAAGAGCTGGTTCTTTGAAAGGATAAACAAGATTGACAAACCTCTAGCCAGACTCACCAAGAAGCAAAGAGAGAGGACCCAAATAAACAAAATCAGAAACGATAGAGGCAAAATAACAGCAGACCCCACAGAAATACAAATGATTGTTAAAAAATACTATGGACAGCTCTACTCCAACAAACTAGACAACATGGAGGAAATGGACAAATTCCTAGAAAAATACAACATTCCAAAACTCAATCAGGAAGAATCTAAAAATCTCAACAGGCCAATAACTATGGAAGAAATTGAAGCAGTCATCAAAAAGCTTCCATCAAACAAAAGCCCAGGACCAGACGGCTTCACAGGGGAGTTTTACCAAACATTCAAGGAAGAACTAAAACCTATCCTCCTCAGACTACTACAAAAAATTCAAGAGGAAGGAACACTTCCAAGCTCATTCTATGAAGCCAGCATCACCCTAATACCAAAACCAGGAAAAGACAACACAATGAAAGAGAATTACAGGCCAATATCCCTCATGAACATAGATGCCAAAATCCTCAACAAAATCTTAGCAAATCGGATCCAGCAGTACATCAGAAAGATCATACACCATGACCAAGTAGGATTTATCCCAGGGATGCAAGGATGGTACAATATCCGCAAATCAATAAACGTGATACATCACATAAACAAATTGAAAGAAAAAAACCACATGGTCATATCAATTGATGCAGAAAAAGCATTTGACAAAATTCAAACCCATTTTTGATAAAAGCTCTCAGCAAGGTGGGAGTAGAAGGATCATACCTCAACATAATAAAAGCCATATATGACAGGCCCACAGCCAACATCATACTCAATGGACAAAAACTAACACCATTTCCCCTAAGAACAGGAACAAGACAGGGATGCCCCCTCTCACCACTCCTGTTCAACATAGTACTGGAAGTGTTAGCCATTGCAATTTGGCAAGAAGAAGAAATAAAAGGCATCCAAATTGGAAAAGAGGAAGTAAAACTGTCCTTATTTGCAGACGACATGCTATTATACATACAAAACCCTAGAGACTCCATCAAAAAGCTACTAGACTTAATACATGAATTTGGCAATGTAGCAGGATACAAAATTAACCCCAAGAAATCTGAGGCATTTCTATACACCAATAGTGAACTTTCAGAAAGAGAGATTATAAAAACAATCCTGTTTACCATCGCACCAAAAAAATTAAGCTACCTAGGAATAAACTTAACTAAAGAGGTAAAAGACCTCTACTCAGAAAACTACAGGACGTTGAAAAAAGATATAGAGGAAGACATAAACAGATGGAAGAACATACCGTGTTCATGGATTGGTAGAATCAACATCATTAAAATGTCCATACTACCCAAAGCAATCTATAAATTCAACGCACTTCCCATTAAAATACCAACGGCATACTTCACAGATCTAGAACGAACTCTCCAAAAATTCATCTGGAATAAAAAGAGACCCCGAATAGCTGCAGCGATCCTGAAAAAGAACAAAGTAGGTGGGATCTCAATACCAGATATCAAGCTGTATTACAAAGCCACTGTTCTCAAAACTGCCTGGTACTGGCACAAGAATAGGCATATAGATCAATGGAATAGAATAGAGAGCCCAGAAATCGGCCCAAACCAATATGCTCAATTAATATTTGACAAAGGAGGCAAGAACATACAATGGAGCCAAGATAGTCTCTTCAATAAATGGTGTTGGGAAAATTGGACAGATATATGCAAGAAAATGAAACTAGACCACCAACTTACACCATACACAAAAATAAACTCAAAATGGATAAAGGACTTAAATGTACAACAGGAAACCATAACAATTCTAGAAGAATCCAAAGGCAACAAAATCTCAGACATATGCCGAAGCAATTTCTTCAATGATACAGCTCCTAGGGCACTTGAAACTAAAGAGAAAATGAACAAATGGGACTACATCAAAATAAAAAGCTTCTGCACAGCAAAAGAAACCATCAACAAAACAACGAGAAAACCCACTGTGTGGGAAAACATATTTGCCAATGTCATATCTGATAAGGGCCTAATCTCCAAAATTTATAGGGAACTCATACAACTTAACAAAAGGAAGATAAACAATCCAATCAAAAAATGGGCAAAGGACCTAAATAGACACCTTTCAAAAGAGGACATTCAGAAAGCCAAGAGACATATGAAAACATGCTCAAAGTCACTAATCATCCGAGAGATGCAAATCAAAACAACAATGAGGTACCATCTCACACCTGTCAGACTGGCTATCATCAACAAATCAACAAACGACAAGTGCTGGAGAGGATGTGGAGAAAAAGGAACACTTGTGCACTGCTGGTGGGAATGCAGACTGGTGCAGCCACTATGGAAGACAGTATGGAGTTTCCTCAAAAAACTGAAAATGGAACTCCCATTTGACCCTGTGATCCCACTTCTAGGAATATATCCCAAGAAACCAGAAACACCAATCAGAAAGGATATATGCACCCCTATGTTCATAGCAGCACAATTCACCATAGCTAAGATCTGGAAACAGCCTAAGTGCCCATCAGTAGATGAATGGATTAGAAAACTGTGGTACATCTACACGATGGAATACTATGCTGCTCTAAAAAGGAAGGAACTCTTACCATTTGCAACGTCATGGATGGAACTGGAGAGCATTATGCTAAGTGAAATAAGCCAGTCAATGAAGGAAAAATACCACATGATCTCACTCATTCATGGATAATAGAGACCATTATAAACTTTTGAACAATAATAGATACAGAGGCAGAGCTGCCTCAAACAGATTGTCAAACTGCAGCAGGAAGGCCGGGGAGGGTTGGGGGGCAGGAGGTAGGGGGGTAAGAGATCAACTAAAGGACTTGTATGCATTCATATAAGCATAACCAATGGACATAAGACACTGGGGGATAGGGGAGGCTAGGGGACTGTCTAGGGCGGGGGGAAAAAATGGACACATATGTAATACCCTTTGTAATACTTTAAGCAATGAATAATAATAATAAAAAAAAACTGAAAAAAAAAAGAAGTGATTGTGAAAGGAGTTCCTAGAGGGAAAAGTTCCTTCAATCAGGGCTGATAGGAGTGGCTTTACGGGAAGCATTTCTGCTGGGTCTTGAAGACCAGCTAGGATTTGGGCAGAGGGAGGGGAGGAGAGAGAGATGGGAAATGAGAACTAAGCTGAGAGGTGAGGGGGTGCAGGGTGTATTTGAAGGACCCCAAGTCAGCCAGCATGGAGTAGTAGAGACAGGGCTGAAACAAGGCTTGACTTTTAGAAATAGTTTTCCAAAAAGATTTTTTACTTTCTTAAAAGCAGTAGTACAAGCAGAACCACCACCACCATGATAATTTATTTTTTATTTTTTAAATTGAATTTATGGGGTGACATTGGTTAGTAAAATTAAATAGGTTTCAGGTGGACAATTTTTATTTGTGATGTATAATGAGTTGTTTGTGCATACACCTGGATGCCTCCTACCTTTTCTACAGCACTGGTCATCTCCCAACCACTTTTGGCCACCAGCTTTTTGAAAGCCTCCACATTGTCATCACTCAGGGATACCTAACATGCAAATATTTAAAAAGCCGTGAGTTCAATGCACAGATATGGGAACAAATATTTTCTGCTTAGAAAATGGGTACTTTTAGAGCCAAAGTGATTATGTTGAGCTTAAAACTATGCTACAGGTAACAACTTCTGTCTCAAACTCTTAATTCGGAATTCAGACAAGGTAACATGAGGCCTGTATGTTTAGCAAATTAATATGATTTTAATTGGTGTGCTAAGCAAAGACAAGATTTCCCTTCAGTATAACTTATTAATAAACTTGGATTTTCCTTTACATTTTATGGCCCAAAACATGAAAACAACTAATACTTTGTTGCTGTGTTATAAAAATGCAAGCTGGTGGGCATGTTTTCAGCAAAATCGTGCTAAGACAATGTCCCATGCAGCTCAGATGCATTTGAAGGCAGAGCATCCTGCGTTTGTAATTTGGGAACTGTACCTATAGTTCAAACAAGGCAGCAAAGCAACTGGTTGGTAACCAGTTACTGACAGCTTGGTTCTGTTTCATGGTGAGATGACTGGTTGCTATGATTCACCTTTTCATCTAACCTGTGTAAGCACAAACTGAATCAGTTAAATAGGGAATTTCTGTTTTTGCAATGATGTGATCTTTACACGAAGCGCTCCAAATCATAAAACTCTCACCTGGTTGCGAATATCCCAGTGTACGCAAAGTGGAATCTCTTGTTTGTGGGAAATAACATATTTTCTGGGGGGAAAAATAAAAACGTTAAATAACAGTTTATTTCCCTGTATTTAGCACACAACAGTAACCATGACACACACTTTCTTGAGCTGAAATCAGCAGTTTAAAATGCTGCTTTTACTGGTGGAACCATCAGGAAGAATAACTTTCATCACTGTCAGAAAACATCAGACCTTCTCTCCTTTCATTATGTGGGACTAGACACCCAGAGAGCAGCTCTTTGTTATGCAATTTGCAAGGTAAGATCTTACACCATAAAATCCTTATACCTAGGCCCCTTACCTGCCCAGACGAATTCTCTTGCGTGCAATAGCTCCACAATACCGTCTAAAATCATCCTTTAATAAATAATAAAAAAACCAACAAAGTAAAATCAATAAATTTCGAATACTTTAGTGCTATAATCTTAAGTCTCTCTCTCCTAAGTCAGTTGAAGAAGCTAACTGGGACCCAGTGTCTGCGTGAATGCTGCTCAGGTGAGAGTTGGCAATAAGGCAACTGCAGGTAGTTCCCATGAACGTGGAGCAGCACAGAGATGCGGATGTGAAGTGGAAGAAGAGAATCAGAAATGGGAAAGGAAGACAATATGCTTCCAATAGCAGTGCATGGCCCAGTTGAGGTGAGGTAGGCAGGGCCCCCAGTGAGACAGTATAGGGGTAATATCTGGACTCCATCTTGGAGGCCTGACTATGGCTCCTTGCTCAGGAACCTTCCCGTAGTTTAAATTAACCTAATCACATCCTTAAAGGGAAGACTACACAATAAGATCCCTTCTTAACATCGTGTTCTGCAAAATAGTTGCTTTGTCTATTAAGTGGTAACTAGAATATTTGCCCAAGCATTATTTTATAGGCCCTTTGAGTGGTCCACTGACCATGGAAAATATCTGTGACTACCCCGGGATCAACCACTGGCAGGTGACGATCATGGGACAACTGACCTCCTCCTCATTCCCAAGCCCGACACCCACCCCAAACCATCCACAAGAACCCTCCGGGAGCTCGACCTCTCTTTTCTGGTCCACTCCCTTGTGCACAAGCTCTTCTCAATAAATTCTATCTGCTTGATCTTGTTCTGAGTGCTCATTTTTATGACATTACAACTCAAGGACCTGGCATTTCAACAAGGGATTAGAGTAATTTGGGGAAAAAAAGAAAAAGTCCATGGTGCTAATAACTTACCTTAGAAATGGGTTTGATTTTGGGAAACGTAACCAGTTCTTCCTTATCATCGACAGCTTTATAAATGAGAAAAGCACTGTTGATGTGGCGGCCCAGGCCCTCGGACCACTCCTGGCAGTCAAAGGCCTCCACGCGCACTCCCACTTCCACACTGGAGAGGGCGACACAGGGTGGTGGGCAGAGAACCAGAGCTCACTGGGCCTCCTCTGCCCACCACCACCACCTCCTCCTCCTCCTCCAAGCACAGAAGAAAATGAGGGTCCTGGTTTTTCCTCTGTGGTCTGCAAATCTATGCAATGGTTAAAATCCGTTTCTCCAGGTCGACAGATCAGATGTGCAAGCCCCTGAGGGCATCTCTGCTTTACTTTCCCACTTTCAGGTGGGAAAAAGGCCAGTTGTGAGTTTGTATATATTCATGAACATATTTTTTTAATGGGGAGGGAGTTTAAATTATGCCAAAGTCAAGTTTTCTCCCCTCAAAACAACAATTCTGCGATTAAAAAGCATCAAACACTGAAATTGGACAGAAAATACAGATATTCTTTTTTACATTTAAAAAGAAAAAATACTAAAAAAATACAAAATTAAATCTTTTCTTTGTATATTAAGAGTAATAAAAATAACTGGAAAGTGGCTTGGACTTCATGGTTGACCATACAGCCACTGGGACTCTTTTGAGAATGAAAGGAAGAGTTAATAATTACAACAGGTATAAACCAAGACCATTCTGGTCAACTGAGACATATAGTCACTCTTATTATGAGAGATAAAAACCAACCTACCACAATTTACTCAGTATAAGGAGGCCTCAAGCAGAATACAGTGTTAAAATATGTACAAATTTTGAAAACTGAATGAAAAAAATATAGAAAGAATTTGGTTATTTTAAAATAGTCCCTATATTCACCTCCAGATTGACATGGAAATTTTAAAACATATTTATGTGCAAGCCTGAATTCACTTATAGCAGCCAAAGAACACTACACACACGTTACCAGGTCTGAAACGTATTGTTGACAATGGCATTGAAGACAAGACGATCTCCCACTGTGGATGGTCCTCGGAACTTAAACATGTCCACAGACTTCAGAAGCGGATGCGCCCGACAGAGGCGGCTGATGACACAAAGGGCAGGAGAGGAGAAATAGATCATTCTCCGAAATATTTTCAGGGACTGCTGATTCGCTTCACAGACCAGTGTCCCATGTACTTTCTAAGCAAACATCTTTTAACTCTAGTGAAACAAATGACTAGATCATGTGTGTTGAGAGTGGTTCTGTACACCGCCTGCAAATGCTTTGGGGAATACCATGTCCCCCAGCCGTGGGGTCTTTACCAAGACGCTGTGCTCCTCCTCTGGTGGTGACAGCCCTGCCCTTGTTTTGTTCCCCATGAAAGTCCCTCTGAAAAACAAGCCAATGTCTTTCGTTCTAATTTGAGGGTTATATTCATTCTGGCAGCTCATGCCTACCATCACAGGGAGCAGGGACTACCAGGGCGGAGCGGGGCGCAGTGTGAGAACTGCCAGCTAGTGCCATTCACACCAGTTCCTCAACTTCATAGCTAACAGATTCACCCACATATCAAAAGACGTAACATTTTTCCCTCACAGAAAAATTACCTAGATTGCTGCACAAAGCCTAAAAGGTTACAAGTTACTCACTTTACAATTTGTGTGTGTGTGAGCTTTTCAAATATCTATAAAGAATATTTAATCTCAGAAGTACTTCCGTTATTTTTACATTTTAGATTCCCACTGTGGCCATTCAATTACTCTAAAGAATTGTGCCTACGCTCACTGAACAGACGCTGCCACAGTTAATTATATTGTAAGCTTTTAAAATAGAAAAGGTTCAAATGCTTTCTTATCAAGTGTGACAATCTCATTTTAAAACAAGTTCTCTTTTATTGTGCATAATTTATAGGAAGGATAACTATAGGTTCCTAACTATAGTAATAACTACAGACACATTAATAATAAAATTCTTGTAGTTTTGGGAAAAATACAACCTTAACAGTTTTCAATGGTTACAAAAATTGTCCGAAGGGCAAACCTTGTTGAAATGCATTTTCAGAATACACATGTTCTTTAAAGCTGCTAAGTTACCTACATGTTCTAAGAATAAAATAACCTTTTTGAAACTCAGGCAAATTTAAAAGTATTCTTCCAATTCTCCCCTTTTTTCCTCTTATTTTTCAGTCAATCCTTTAGCCATAATGACTCCAACACAACTTTGAAGGTCAGACCTAACTGTAAATTGCCGTTAAAAAGTTTGCAAATTGACTACTTTTAATTGATATTTTAGTTGACTACTTTTACGTGTAAATGCTGTCTCCTGTTTCTATTCTGCATCTACTTTGTTATAACTTTGTTACAAGGAATTTTAATGCCACAAGGTCAACATTCATAATTCAGAATAAACTATGAGAACTGTCACTTCAATTTTATTTTTGAACCAAGTTAATCTGAAGGTAAACAGGTAAATGACTAATTTTCTCATTTTGATAAAAGACCACACTGTCTTATCCTTGTCTCCTTGACTTGCCAAATAACTGGATCTCAGTCCCTTTCTCTCTCACCCCACTGGTCCCAATATCACATGTCGAAGGTCAAAACCAAGAACCTTGCAGAAATAGTAGCCACCGTCTCCATCCAAGCCATAATCTGGCCACCAAATGTATTTCCATGATGGTTTGCATGGGGTGGGAGGACAAGTTCAATGCTCTGAACAGAGGTGCCCCTGGTGGAAACTGTTCCTTCCTCTTCATCAGAAATGAGATCTGAAAGGTGGATGTAAACATTAATGATGGTGGAGTTCACCACAGGACTGGAGACTACAGCCTTTCTTTCCCACCAGCACTCTCAAGTCATGAGATTTTTAAAAAAAATTAAATTATTCCCAAAGACTTAAAACTCCTGAGGAAATAAATAGATTTTTATTCAACAGAATAACTTTCATTTGAATGGTATTTAGAATGAACTGGATAATAAATCAGAAAGGGCCTTTCAGAGAATATATTCCAACCTACTTTTCAAGTCCACCAGAATTTTGATTAAAAATGATTAAATTTAAACGTGAGTTGTTTGGGGTGGGGGAGGAGAGATCAGGGTAGGAAGGGGCAGAGAGAAATTTGGGGATTGATGGACATGTCATTATCTTGATTGTGGTGATGGCTTCATGGGTGCATATGTGTTTCAAAACTTACCAGACTGTATTGGGACGATCACTTTGTAAGTTATATGAATGCTTAATGACTATGCTGTATACCTGAAACTGATATAGCACTGTATGTCAACTGCAATTGAAAAATAAATTTAAAAACAACAAAAAGCTTATCAAACTGTACACTTTAAATATCATGTCAATAAAGTTGTTAAAAAATACAGAAACTGGAGTTGCAGAGGGCCATAGACACGGAGAACCTGGAATAGCTTGCTGTACCATATAAACTTCAGAAGAGGAATGTGGCTTCCCATGGTTACTGTTTTGTAATGAATGCAGTCATGAACAGAAAAGACACAATACATTGTACTTCTCAGTGTCTTTCTGCTTCTTTTGAATCATATCTGCTTCATTCACTGACAAATTGGTTTTTACTCCCAACAATGGAGAAATCATTTGCTTTGGCTGCAAAGCAGTAAATGTGTTCAATTATGTTGCCGGCATCATCAAATGAATCACCAGCCAGGCTTACATCTCACTTGCTGTTGCTGAGATGGTAGAGGAAGACTTCCCAATCAGGAGGTCCCATCCTGGCTGTCCAGTCAGAGGCAGAGCTGAACTCGCAGTGTGAGAACACAGATGCGCCCAGCTGTTGTTGGGAACTGGGAATGGGGCCATTCTTGGTGCAGTCACATATGAGCAGAGAAATGTGGTTATAGAGACTTTTAAACTCCATTTCCTGATGGAATTTTAAAATTTATAATTAATTGATGGTCTTTTTTTTTTTTCTTTGTACCCCCTTTGTTCAACTGATCATTTCAGTCATCGGCCTAAAAACATGTTTGTACTTCCCATGCTCCTAGTATAAAATCCTTCCTATTGCCCCTAGCCCTTCCTTTTTGGTCTGTCTACCCCTCCATCCTAGCCGGTCTGGTTCCCACTAGCACCTCTCCCTTCTGCATCATATTCTCTCTCTCAATTTTTCCCTCACTTTGTTCCAGCCACAATAACTCTTTTCAGTTCAACTAAATGTTGCCTTCAACATCAGGGCATTTGCACGTGTTGGTTCCTCTTCCAGTAGCAATTGCCCTAGCCACCACCTTCTTCCACTTACTTCCTATTCTCACTTGGCTCATCTCAGTCATCATTCTTTCAGGAAAGCCTTTCCTGACCTCCGCAGCCAATCCCCACTCTTACAAGCTCTTACACGTCCCTTTATTCCAGTTATAGTCTTATGTTTATTTGTGTGATTTTTGATGATCTGATTCCCTAGGTCCTAAGATCCTTTGAGCAGAGACTGTTTGTTTTTTTGTTTTTTAATTTTAAGATAATTTCCTGAATAGGTGCTCAGTAAATATTTATTGAATGAAGAGATGAATAAACTTAACTTGGCTGGTTTTTCCACATTCATAGTCCTTACTATCAACAGATTATTTTTAGGTAACAAAATGATAGGACTGAAGCGTACTTCAATTGCTGTTTATTAGAGTTCCACTGCTCTCCATTTTCACTTAAACAGTGTTGTAGACTCTTCTATTTTTTCCCAATTTTGTGAGAGTGAAATAGTATCTCATGTTGGTTATAACTTGCATTTTCCTGATTAATAATGAAGTCTGACATATTTCCGTGTGTAGATTAAACTTACACTAAACTTTCTGGCTACTTCTTAATGGAATGTCGGTGGCATTTGCGCCACATGTTACTTTTCTCCCATTCTTTTTTCCCTCTCCTTCTGAAATTCTGATTAGATGCTTGTTAGATTTTTTACTCCATTCTCTGTGTCTCCTCTCTTATATAGTTTCCATCCTTTGCTTATCCATCTGCATTATTGGTAACTCCTATAGATCTATATTTCAGTTCACTGTCTTATATGTTTCATTCATTCATTGAGTTTTAAATTTAAATTATTATAATATCCTTTGTGTGTAGAAATTCTCTTTGTTTCTTTGTCAAATCTTCTAGGTCATTTTCTTGTTCCTGCAAAATGCTTTAGATACTCTTTTATCTCCTAAAATAAATTATCATTCTCACTTCATATTATTTATATAATAAATTCAATATTGGTAGTCTTCGTGGGCCTCATTCTATTGTCTGGTGCTTCTTCTGGGTTTTGGTGACTTACTTATTTTTATTTTTTATGATTTTTTTTTTTACTAGGAGCTCATATTCCTAGGATCTTCATCTGTGGGAATTCTTGAGGGCTGGGTTTAAAGTCATCTCTGCACAGAGGATGTACATTTGTGGCTGCAGATCATCAGGGGGTACTGCAACACAACACCATTTCACACGTGGTCTGTTTCAGGCCAAACAAGTAATGTGAATTCTGACACAAAATCTGCATGAGAATGTGCTTCTGATTGAATTCTCAAAGGGAATTTTCATCCCCAGCAGAGCTCTCCCAGGGTTGGGATTTTTCCAGTTGACTCATTGAGGATATCATCTTTTGGGGGTTGCAGCTTCAGTTAAGGTTCCTGGATCCAATCCTCCACCTAACATGGTCCCTGGCTTGGTTACCTGAGCCCTTTCAGGCTCATAGAACACAAGATCTAGGACTTCTAGCACTTCCAAGGTCCTCCCACAGCAAATGCCAGCTCTTGTGTCTCCTTACACTGCTGCATTTTTTTCTAATTATTTCTAGACTTCAAGATCTCCCATTTTTCTTCTTGCTGAGATGTGTTTGCAAAAATGTTTGTAGATATTTTATCTAGAAATTCTAGTTTTCCCCCTAGATATTAAGTCTGCTGTAATCAGAATTAGATTGTTTCCTAAAGTGATCTTTAAAAGGTATATGAAATCTTAACTCCCATCCACCTTCTGTCTCTTTTTTTAAATTCTCACCAAAGAATATGTTTTTTATTGAATTTTAGAGATAGAGGAAGGGAGAGAGAGAGAAACATTGATGTGTGAGAGAAACATCGACTGATTGCCTCCCCTACATGCTCCAACCAGGAATTGAATCTGCAACCCAGATATGTCCCCTGATCAGAAATAGAACCTGCAACCTGCCCGGCCAGTGTGGTTTAGTGGTTGAGCATCCACCCACGAACCAAGAGGTCACCTGTTTGATTAGCACTCAGGGCACATGTCTGGGTGTGGGCACAATCCCCCGTAGGGGGCATGCAGGAGGCACTTGATCACTATTTTTCCTACAACCTTTTGCTGCATAGGAAACACTCCAACCAACTAAGCCACCCATCCAGAGCTCTCTCTTTTTTATAACTGATTTTGTTAAATGATCTTCTATATAAACACCCAAAACTAGCATTAATCTACGTATTTTAGGTTAAATTTTCTTATTCAAATGGTTTATTTTTCTTCCAAATAAATTAATATAAACTATCTCTAAAATATATTGCTAAACGGAAAGGAGAAAGGTGCACAATTGTTTGAATATTGTGTTACCAGAATGTGCTAGTGTGTTATACAGTATGAGTGTGTGTGTGTGTGTGTGTGTGTGTGTGTGTGTGTGTGTAAAACAGTAGTTGTCTCTGAGGAAGGGAATTGAGTAACTGTGAGACACAGAAGGAGGGTATAGGAGAGCACCTTCTAAGTAAGTGCTCTCCTATACCCTTTGAATTTTTCATCCTGTGCATGTGTACCATTTTTAAACAATTCAAAATAATTATAAAATAGAAAATTAATAAAGAGGGAAGGTGGGGGTGGTGTGGGCAGGGGAGATTAATCGGGGAATTTATACACATATAAGCATAGCCCATGACACAGATAATGGTGTGCTGAAGGCTTGGGAGGGGTGGGTGCAGAGTGGAGGGGGTCAATGGGAAAAAAACAAAAACAAAGGAACATCTGTAATACCTTCAACTATAAAGATAAATTTATCTTTTATAAAGATAAATTTTTAAAAATTAAGAGAGGGCCGTATAATGTGAGAAACATTGTAAATACTCAAATATAAGGCAATTCCTCATTTTCTGAGAAATAACTTTAAAAAAATCTACTTGATTGCTATGAAGACATACAAGACACACACTGGGACACATAGAGGTGAGTACTACGGCAGACCATATGCGCATAAGCATCAGCTGTGACGTATATACAGAAATATACTGAATATAAATGACTTCAGGGCAAAAGTACGCCTACTTGCAGGTAACTGCCAATCAATGCAGAGACAGGGCTCTCCCAGGTTCAGAGGCTCACAGTTCTGGCTGTGTACACAAATTAAGCACAGTAAACAGACCCCATCCTCTCTGCAGGCTTCCAAATACGCATACTCACCCAGTGCTTTATCAACACTTGCACTTTGGATGTTCAGTAGGTATTGCGTCATCATTCTACTTGGACAATTTTACATTCATTCCACATATTCAGGTCATTCTAGCCTTAGTTTTCTTTCCCATGCCAGAAAGGATCAACACAGGGCAATGCTCATAGAGATTTGATTCCTTACTAAAATATTATCATGAAAATGCTCCAAATCTTTAACCAGATCTAAGTCTTTCCCAGTATGCCCAGCTTCCACATGCCAGTAGTACATGAGCTCATTCCAAAACAGTCTGGTTTTTACATAATCTAATCTCATCTTTTCCCTGTTTCTTCTGTAAGAGAGTGATTTGGATTCAACTTTCTCACTTTTCTAATGATATGCCTTTCAATCATACATCTTGAAAAAGATTCCAATCTCGATGTCTGATATGATAACCCAATACAGAACCCGGGCTTTTTGAAAATATAGTTCAAAAACAAAGATGATCTAGCTATCTTCCTTCTGAACATTATGTGCTGTCCAAAACAAACTCCATCAGATCCACAGGGCAGCAGGTCGACAAACCACATGCTCTATGGCAACGTCAAGCTCCAGGGTCTGGCTCTTAATATATCTAAGAAACATTGTCTTTAAGTTCTGTGATATCTTTGAAAGCTAGTAAAATTTCTAAAGAGAAAATCAAATCAATGAAGTTAGGTAAAGTTGTTTTGTGCAAAGGAATGTAGAATAATCTATTTTATGGCTGGTTAGATGATTTAAAAAAGACTTAAAAATCTATAATTCTAAATTAAATCAGACATATAGATCTGATCTGCCCAACTTCCTCACAAACTGAATAAAACTAAAGTCAACTGCAATCATTCTACTTTTACATTTGAATGACTGTAGCAAGTACCTGTCATTAATTCAGAATGTCTCCAGTACTCAAAGTACTGTTGGTGTTGTGGAGACAGGTAGAGAAGATTGCTGCTGATTTTGTTGATTCATACAACTTGCACAACTCCAGAACAAGCCAATGGAGCCAAGTTCACCTGGCTGCTGTGGCAAGTGAAGGAGGCTTAGATGACCAGGCCTACCAACCCTTCCCAATAGACGGACACTAGTGAAAAAGGCCAGAATATCAGAGATCATTGTAACTTTCTACCAAGACAACAAACAAAACAGTTTTCAGGTGTTTTAAGTCCAAGTTTGATACCAATGATCTCCTTCTCTTATAATCAACCTCTCCCTCAATAATGATTTCTATGATCAGCCTTGATCAACCTGCAACCATGACCAATTATTTCCTATCCTGAAAAAATAATGCCCTTTGACCTTGAGGGCATAGCTCCAGGCTGTTTATCTCACCTTTTACAGCCAAGTTCTTTGAAAGGACAGTCTTTAACTGTTATTCTAATCCTACCCATGAATGGGGACCTCTCAAATAACAATAGTAATAATAATAGCATTTTCCACATGCCTGACACCGTTATCAAGAATCTGTGTTAACTCATTTAATCCTCACACAAACCTATTGAATAAGTACTACTATTACTCCCATTTTACAGTTATTATTTTTAACCTTGCATCAGCCCACTGGGAAAAAGAGCAGAGTCAGTGGTCTGAGTATGGGCAACAAGGACAGAGATAAGAAAATAAAAAGAGCAACTTCCTGTTGGCCAGGACCCCTGGCTGCAAGAGGAAAAAGGTGACATCCCCTTTACGCCTCTAATACAGGGTCAGCAGCAGGCCTCCCTTCCCATACCCTATTTATTGCACTCATATTTCCACTAACCATGCTCTTGCCAAAGTCACCAATGACTTCCCTAGTCCCAATTCAGTGGAAAAGTTTTATTCCTCACTTCCTGGAACACAGATGATCATTCATTTCTTCATGTCACTCTACTCCTTTGAGGTATGACACCACTTTCTCCAGTTCTCCTTTACTCCTCTGACCAGTCCCTCCAGATCGTCTTTGTAGATTCATCCTCCCCCTCTGATAGTCTCTTACATAGCCATGTTCAGCAGGTTCCATTCGTGGCCCACAGCCCTGTGTCCCCGTGAGCCTTCACAGGGTGACTGCTGGTACTATCTTCATTTGAATTAACATCTGTAAACAGTTGTCTCTCAAACTTGATCTCTCCAGTCCTGGTCTCATGCTTTTGGTTATGCCACCGGCTTATCAGATTATACCAAACTCATCATCCAAACTGCCCCCTCCACCCCTCATCTTCATTATCATATTGATGATAGCACCATCAATTAACCCATCGCTCAAATCAGAAACCTGAGCATTATCCTAGCCTTCTTCTTCACTTGTCTCCCCACATCAATGACCATATTCTGCTGATTTTACCTCTTATATATTTTTTTTAACTCATTCCCTCCTTTCTCTCCCTATTATCATTGTCTGGTGCAGCCATACCTCCCCTCGTGCCTGGTCTCGATGCCTCTAGTCTCACCTCTTCAGAGTGACCATATCAAGTGTAATTATGCTACAACTCTGCTCAAAACCCTTCCCTGACTCTCATCAAGGACAGAGAAAGGCCAAGCTTCTTAGCATGGCCTCTGTGACGCAGCTCTACCTTTTCATGGTGGCCTCCTTCCACCCTGATTTTTCTCTCTAGAATGCTCTTGTTCCCCTGGTTCAGCTATTTGATTACTTTAGCAAAATGCATTTAAAACATATTTTAGCACTGAGGTCATCTTTACAAAAGGAGACCCACTCTTCTTAGCAAAGTAAGTAAATGATGAAGTCAACTTGGTAATGGGCATTGTCTTTAAAAGATCATCAATGAGCCCTGGCCGGTTTGGCTCAGTGGATAGAGCGTCAGCCTGCAGACTCAGGGGTCCCGGGTTCGATTCTGGTCAAGGGCAAGTACCTTGGTTGCGGGCACATCCCCAGCAGGGGGTGGGCAGGAGGCAGCTGATCAATGTTTCTCTCTCATTGACGTTTCTAACTCTCTATCCCTCTCTTTTCCTCTCCGTAAAAAATCAATAGAATATATATATATATATATATATATATATATATATATATATATATTTTTTTTTTTTAAAAAAAAGATCATCAATGAGTAGGAACCTTTGAAAAACTTTTTTCCAACCCAGAGGTTGTCTGTGAGGTGGTCCCAGGACCATGATGATGTCACATGGGAAAGAATAAAGCCCACAGGTGTCAATCACCCCTGCCTCTGCCTTTTCTCCCTCCTCTGGCCTTCATATGCTTTCACTCTTCCTCCTCCTCCTTTTCCCACATTCTTATCCTGACCCTTTCTTGTCTTCTCCTTTCCTTGTCTTTTTCCTGTGTCTGCTTTCAGAGCCAAGGGAATGGGGGTGGACCCTCTGTGAGCCTCTTCACCCTCCTGCAGTGGTGATGAGAGGGGCTCGGGCTGGCTCACTCATTTCACTCTTTGCTCTCCACCACAGGCCATCTCCCTTGGGGCTGCAGGAGATGGGAGTCAGATAGGAAGGGCAGATGAGGGGCAAGGAGGACTTCCTTTCCCTGCCATTCTGGCCCCACCAGGCCTCAAAGAGGCCAGGAAATCACCGCCAAAGAACTGAGGAACTTTGGCTCATCATAGTGTTACTGTGGAAGAGCCGAGAAACAGTAGAATCTTATCACTTCCATTCATATCCCCTGTAACCTTTAGCAAGGTTCTTCACTACTCAGTTTCAGGTTTTTCCTCTGTTGAGATTATATGCAGCTCATATGAAATAATAGATGAGAAACTGCTTAGTAAAGTGTGAAACACCAGATCAACTTACGGCATTGTCCTTCCTTCCTTCCTTCATCTATCATTACTGAGCACACAGTTACTAATAAGAACAGCATGGTTCCCTCTGCCCTTTCACATCTCCTCCCCTGGAGATCCTCTGACTTAAAGCGGGCTTAGGTGTCAGCAGTTCTATTCTGAATGGCCAGGCCCTTCCTTCCCCAGCCACTGGGTTTGTTGGAAAAGATCTTTAGTATCACCAGGACTGAACTGTAATAATAAGGTGAAAGTAAGTGTGCCCTAAGGAAGGACCCTTCACTGTCACAGTCATAGAGTTCAAGTTCCTCTAGGGAGATGTACTGACCCTCAAACTTGCTACTCTTCTCCATCAGGTTTTTAAAGGTCTCTTCATGCTGTAATCTCACTTTCCTTCTCTCAGAAGCCAGATTATGTTCCACATGGTCTTGTTCAGTTAGAGGTGTGACTGGTTTTAAATGAATCTAGAGAAAGAAAAACATTTACCTCTCATCGCCTTGTTAAATTATAAAAGCACAACATGACATTTGCAAAAACAAATGATATGTCACATTGTTTTCTAACTCAAAGTAAATAATTTATGGGTGTTTTCACACACATTTCATTATGACTAAAAATTTTCCTTAAAATATTTTTAAATTAAAAAAATCAATAGAGACAATTATTTCTTTGTACAAGATATGCGCTGTAAGCAGTTTTTCAAATATTATTTCCCCCCAATTTTTTAAAAAAATTAACAGAACTACAAAATAAGAAATTCTTCAAATTAATGAATGAGGAGATGGACTTTGATGCCACTTAATTCTTATCAGGAAATATTTTTTGCCTAGCTGGTGTTGCTCAGTGATTGAACATGGGCCCATGAACCAGGAGGTCATGGTTCGATTCCCGGTCAGGGCACATGCCCAGGATGCAGGCTTGGTCCCCAGTAGGAGACGTGCAGGAGGCAAACAATTAATATTTCTCTTTTATGGATGTTTCTATCTCTCTATCCCTCTCCCTTCCTATCTATAAAAAAAAGAAAGAAAAAAATGTTTCTACCTTTTGCAAAATTTAGACATTCAAGGAAGGAATAAAGATGTTTTAAAGAAAGCTATTATTTACCAAGAAATATTCTCAATTTGGAAATTTCATCACATGATGAAAACATCTATATATATAAAAGCTCAGTGACCAGAATGGCAGAATGACCAGAATGATCGGTGGCTATGACATGCACTGCGGCAGCCAACCAGCCTGATCCAGGTCCTGATCGCCACCCCCATCCCGGCTGGCCTGGCCCCCAACACCCCAACTGGGGGCAGGGCCAGCTGCAAACCACCCATGGCCCCACCCGCCTGCTTGCCTGCTTGCCCAGCCTGATGGGCCCCCATTGGGGTGGGCTGGCTGGACCCCACTCATGCACAAATTTGTGCACTGGGTCTCTAGTTATCTAATGAGCAAACTTAAAGAATCAATACGTCAGAATCAAGCTTTAAACAACCTCCAGGAGCCTGGAAATATGATGCAATAGAACCAATGGCTCAAGCTTCTTCAGAAATGCCTGCCTGCTGACCTGTGCGTGTCAGGAAGAGAAACCTTGCAGCTGGACTAGGGTCGCGCCATGCTTATTTCCAGGACACTGAAGGCTGGTGCTCACCCTTGGCCAAGGTAAGGATGAAGTATCTAGTGATTTATAATATGCTGCTTCAAGTCTAAACTCCCTTGGACTGCTTGTCTAATTCGGTTAGAAATGGATAGATGATAGCTCGCACTGGTTTAACTGCTTACACAGCCTTGTTTTAGTTGGATGACCAGAGGGGTATAAAAAGGTCACCTGGTAAACCAATGTAGATAAAATACATTTTGTGTGACTGAAGAGGACCCTGAGAGCAATGCCTGGCAGTCTTAAACCTCTCTGCTGATTGCCTGTGCTTTCTTTCTCTGTTAGTGGGCATTTGGTCCTGTCCAAAACATCTACACTTACAAAATACCCCTGGGTTCAAAGTGTCTATAATGTTTGTTTAGACGTTTGGTTTACAGGGTTAATAAATTTAAAATGCTCTCATGTTTTATTGGTCCAATAATTGTGTAGTGGCTGTATTGCCAATAATAACCCTTTTTGCCTTGGTAGCCTAGCTGGTCATGGCACATGTGAAGGACCAAATATCAAGGACCTTTTGGCATGGACCAAATGTCCTGCAAGTTCTTTCTCCTGCTGTTCTGCCTCCTTTAGGGTGAATAGGCTTTGCATGAGCATGATCTATGGCAGTGGTTCTCAACCTTCCTAATGCCGCGACCCTTTCATACAGTTCCTCATGTTGTGGTGACCCCCAATTTCACTGTTACAAATTGAACATAATTAAAGCATAGTGATTAATCACAAAAACAAAATGTAATTATATATGTGTTTTCTGATGGTCTTGGGCGACCCCTGTGAAAGGGTCGTTCGACCCCCAAAGGGGTTGTGACCCACAGGTTGAGACCCGCTGCTCTATGGGGTCTTGTGAGTCCTTCAATGATCTGGCCTGTGCAATTGTTGGACTAAGCCTAGTTAATCATTGCCCATCCTGTCTTAGAAAAAACTCACTTTGGACAGAGATCCAGGTAGGCCTATCTCTTGAAATCAAACACCGATTTTTCATGGCTCTCTTTATGCTGTTCTAAACAAGAATGTCACCAAATGAAAAATAAATTAGCCTGGGAAACATGCTTTACAGTAAAGGTTATCTGAGCCAACCAATTATGGCAGAACCATAAGGTCCCTGACTTCCCAGAAATGCTTTCAGAAAAACAGTTCTTCAGTCTCAGGAGAAACTGAAGTGTGACTATCCCATTCTGATTCCATGAGTCCATGAAGTTGGAGTGAGAAGTCTAAAGCTGGAGGGAAAATGATGGCCCTCGTTTTCTCCTTCATGTGTAGGAAGAAGTTGTTGGGGGGACTCCTTTCTGTCACTTGCTCTCAGATATGGGAACTCTGCACCCGCCCCCACATTCTCTCGCTCCCAAGAGTCTGGAGATTTCTGGGGACTTTAGGAAAAACAGAGTGGTTGGCAACACCTATCTCGACATCTTAAATTTCAGTGAACATAGGATCCTTGAGATACTTTGTTAACATAGATTCCAAGTTTCTCATGGGTGATTCTAATTCAGCAGGTCTGGGATACAATCCAGAAAGCTATATTTAAATAATATAATAGATTAAGTGAACTTCAGTTTGAAAAGCAATGCCTTTGGGCAATGAGAATTTGCCTGTGGCCTGTTTAATTTTGGGACGAGAGTAAGGGAAGTGTCCCAGTGTACACAACTCTGCGGGATATCTGCTACCTGTGACCATGGTGGGCTAACTCAGCCGGTCCCATCTCTGTGCCTCCTCGCTCAAGTGAGGCGTAGCTGAGGAGTGTGGCTCTGTCGTTCTTTCCCATGAGTACAGTGGGAACATTGCTTGCCCCACCTCTAAACTCTGAGGCAGTCCGAGAAGAACACTTTGGCAGAGTCAGAAGTACTGCTTGTCACTTTCAGAGTGGAGCTAGGAGAAGCCACTGTGCCCACCTCTGGAGCAAGCCCTGCAGCGAAAGGCTTCAATTCTAAATTGAATGATCACGCATAAAAATACTTAGACTAGATTGGGACCGTCCCTGTTGGCATGATGACTTTAAAAAGAAAAGCCAAGAAATGATAACGAATAAATCTCCAAAAGACCATGGAAAAGCTGTCCTGGGCAAATGGCCAGGCTAGTCCACTGGGCACATATATTAGGCCAAAGTACTTCCTTTAAGGGTGTTTTTACCCCATATGCCCTGAAGCTTATTTTTAAACTTCAATAACTCAGCAACTTTGACATCCTTCCTTCAGGTATAAAAAAGTGATTGGACCAAAACATGCAACTGCTCACTAAATTGCTCTTGCTAAAATAAAAAAGATATTTTAACTCAACTCGGAGTTATATAACCCCAAAAGAAAAGAACTAAACCAGTAAGCAATATTTTTGAGAAACTGATATGACCTTTAGATAATTTAAAACACAGTATTTTTCCTCTTTCACAAACTGGCTACAACTTCTCTTGTCTAAAGTACTTACTACTATAACATTATCACAGACTGATCTTTTATAATAAATATTGATGAATAACAAATCTTGGGAAAGCATTTCTCATGCTAAGATGAATGTCCTTTTCGTAATAATCATTCTGACGCAATTTTTAATATGCCCCTCACACAGAAAATTTACCTTTTCTTTTCCAACTGGTTTGGCTACAAATGTAGAGAAGGCCACACTAACAAGTTTCTCAATGCCAGTGAACGTGTCCTGCACTATGACCTTGATGCTGATCTAAAATGAAAAGAAAATAAATAAATAAACTTTCAGCCATCCAGACAACAGATGGGATTGCACCATTCAAAATTCAGTTATGCACTTCACCATTCGTTTTCTTTTGGTTTTTCAATGAAACTAGCATTTTAATGTATTCTTAAGCAATACTCTTGTTTTAATAATGTTCTATAAAGTTGGAAAAATAACTTTTTTCTGATTATAGAAAGATACATATTTACCATGGAAAAGTTGGTAAATATAAAAATAAGTAAATGATAACATTGGAATCTAACTATCCAGAGGAAATATCAGTAACAGTAATCCCACCACTCAGGTTAATTTTCTTCCAGTTACATACATATATATGTGAAATATAAAATGTAAATTATTTATTCATATATAAAATGTGTGTCTGTGTATACATGCACACAAAATTACCATATTGCATTTACAGTTTTTTATCATTTTTTAAAAAGTTGGTATTATGTGATAAGCATTTTCTAATTTCGTTATTAGCACCAATGACAGAAGTAAGGAAAGGGGCCTCTTACCTCCATGCTTGTGCTGAATGCTCTAGTAACTTTTGCTTTGATGGTTATAACTTGTCCAACTCTATTTAAAAAAAAAAAAAAAAGATCTCAGTAATCCTAGCATAGCTCATTCCAGGCTTAAAGGTTTAGTTAAATGCATGTGCCATCGAGCAGTTTTACCTTATCACACTCATAATGTTTGTGCGTGAAAAATTCAGGTTAATGAAAACATAAAAAAGAATGCACTAAAAACAGATGCCAATCACTGTGAACCACACATATGTTAGCTGACTACCTCTATTTAAACAGCAAAGGGCCTTGGCAAAGATTGTGTGCAAAACGACTTCCAAATCTGCAACAGGTACTTTGACAATACTGCAGCTGTTTTCTTGAGAGGAATCAAAACAGACACATAAACAAAACCAATACAATTGGTATTTATTTTAAAATATTAGCTAACAAATAATAAGTATACTACCAACAAGCTGGCCCTAAAACTGATCAGCTTTACTAGGTTTACAGGGGCCCTCAATGCTGCCAGGTGATCCATTTACTCCACATTACTGATGAAAATCTGTGTGTCATGTAAGGCCTTCATTAAATGCTACCTCTGTCATGAAACACCACCGATTTCCCAGTCAAAATGCACTTTTTAACTACCCCAAAGAACTGAGTTTATATCTCATCCTAGGCATGTACCTATTATACTTTCTATTCTGATGATTATGTGTTTATCTGACTCTCAACAGACTGAGCAACTGCCACACTCCAGAATTGTGACATAGTCATCCACATATCCTATTGGGCCCAAATAGTACTTTTCATATAAGCAATACATATTTGTGAATTTAAAAAATATCTAATATGGCTTACAACTAAATTATATGGTTCCCTATATATTGCTTTCAATTTTCTGTTTTTAGGTTGCATGTAAAAAATACGAGTTCACTTTTTATCAACTTAGTGACCACAAATCCTTTTTGATAATACAAATGCAAATTGGCAAAACCATATTTCAATGATGAGGTTATTAGTTAAGCAATAAGTTACAGAATTTAGGATTGGAAAGTACATAATAGATATTATATTACATTGTATCATTGGCATTCCTAAATTTAATAATCGTGCTTTAATCTCTTCTCAAATAGTTTGAATTCACAGTAATCTGTAATTTTGCTAAGATAAAAATACATATCAATTTTTTCTACTTAGTATGTGAGCTTAGTCAATGCATGTGGTTCTGTTTAACTTAATTTTGTTTGTATATAAATAAATAAATGCCAAACAGATAAATGTAAGCAGTTAGGTTGGAGAGATGAATTGGGCAACTCATTGGACAAGACTACTTAGGGTTTAAAAACTGGTGACAGCTACCCCATGGTCCTAGAGAACTATCCCAGACCAGAAACAAACAACCTGTTCTCTTCCTTTTTCTTGTGAATTCTGCTTATGTCTGTAAGGATCAAGGTATTTCACATAAAACCAAACAGGACAACAACAAAAAATACCAAGACGAGCCCTGGCTGGTGTGACGCAATGGTTAGGGTGCCAGCCTATGCACTGGAGGGCTGTGGTTTGATTCCCTGTCAAGGGCACATACCTGGGTTACAGGTTCCATCCTGGCCCAGGTCAGGGTGTACACAGGAGACAACCAATCAATGTGTCTCTCTTGAATGATGTTTCTTTTCTTTTTTCTCACTCTGTCTCTCTCCCTCCCTCTCACTCTCTCTAAAAATCATCCTTAGGTGAGGACTAACAAAACACACCAAACCTCCCAAAGCAACCAAGATTATACAAACATAAAATTAAAGAAATTAAGTAAAACCATATAATCCTAGTTGATTAGAGGTATTAGTATAAACTCTTTAAAAAACACATAATTCTTAGTTCTGTTCACTGAAAAGGCCTAAAATAATGACCAACTCTATACTGATGACCACGTTTCCTGCCCAGATTGTGATCTCTATTTATCAATTCTCTTGAAGAAATTTCTGATTCTGAGTTTGTGTGAGAAAATGTATAAAATGAGCCCATCTTGTCATACCAGAAAGCGAAGGAGTTATTAAAGAATTCTAACTTTGGGGTTATATCCAAAACGCAGAGCCAAATTGAAGAAGCTTCCATTGTCCAAAGACAGGGCAGAATGAGCATCCATAAGAATAATCATATCAGAACTGAAATGCATCAATTATGTTAAAAATCATGGGCTCCTAATGATACTATCCTATATAATAAAAGGGTAATACGCAAATTGACTGAGCAGTGGAATGACCAGTCTCTGTGACACGCACTGACCACCAGGGGACAGATGCTCAACGCAGGAGCTGCCCCCTGATGGTCAGTGCGCTCCCACAGGGAGAGTGCTGCTCAGCCACGAGCTGGGCTTGACGGCTGGCGAACAAACGCAGCAGAGGTGGTGGGAGCCTCCACGGACATCCTCCCTGACTGCTAAAGGGCGCACAAATGTCGTGCACCGGGCCTCTAGTATAAAGAGGAAGAATTAAGTCTATCTTTCCTGGACAAACTTTACCTCAAGGTAACAAAGTAATTAAAGAGATAAAGGGTCTCTCTATACAAATAGTTCAGAAAAGAAATGGAAAAAAAAAGAGATAGATTTAGCATACTACTATTTTGCCAATATCTAATGAAATAATGGTTCTAAATAATGATCATTAGACAGTATATGCTCTTGACAAGAACTGGTTTTACCAAAATATCAAATTTCCATCAGATCATTTTTTTTGGTGTAACTATAGTTTATAAGAAATATAAATGTATGTGAACATGCTAAACAGAGATACAATGAGAAAATGCAAAATGTGGTAAATTCTTTAAGACAAATGACCAGGTTTGTTTACAAAATAAATTGCAAGTGAAATGAACAAAGGGAAAATTATATGTTAAAAGACATATCAACCATATTAGATCCTGATTCAATAAACTAATTGTTTAAATTTTAAAAAATTTGAGACCATTGGAAATTTCTGTTAATGGTATAGTAATTGTTATTATATGTTCTCTAAAAGAGCCTTATCTTTTAGAAATATATACTGATAATGCAAACACAAAATGGCAAAAACATTTCAATGATGAGGTTACTAGTTAAGCCTAAGTTACAGATTGGAAAGTATATAATAGAAATTTTATTACAATGTTGGCAATACCAAATTTAATAATAGTGCTTTAATTTATTTCCAAATAAGTGTGAATTTGCAGTAATTTTTAATTTTCACAGATGATCCCTTGGAATTATGTCAAAATAGTCCAGGTATGTGGGAATCTAGAGGGGAACTGATAAAACCAGAGTGTCTATGAGTTGATTATTGTCATAGTTAGGTGAAGGGTCTTTGGAGATACATGGTACTATTTTCTCATCTTTTGTGTATGCTTGGATATTTGTATGTATATCTTGAAATTTTCTACAACAAGATATGGTAGGCATATACACACTCCCACACATAAAATGTTTTTCATAATTTAACATCTTTACTCAGATAAATTAATGTTTACCTAACAACCTAATGATGAAATTCACCATCACAGAGATACTTATTATCATCAACTAGAGGCCCGGTGCATGACATTTGTGCACCCTTTAGCAGTCAGGGAGGATGTCCGTGGAGGCTCCTACCACCTCTGCTGCGCTCGTTCACCAGCCGTCAGCCCGGCTTGTGGCTGAGCAGCACTCTCCCTGTGGGAGTGCACTGACCATCAAGGGGCAGCTCCTGCATTAAGCATCTGTCCCCTGGTGGTCAGTGCATGTCACAGAGACTGGTCATTCCACTGCTCAGTCAATTTGCATATTACCCTTTTATTATATAGGATTATTCTTCTAGTAGAAGAAGGAGCCATTAGGAATCAGCTTCTATAAATCCTTCTATGCTTTAGACCAGAATGCATATAATACATAATGCCAGCAGCTATTTCTCAACAAAATCAGGACTGAATTTACAGCTAAGCAAGTTTATTAGAAATAGGTCCTGCAATTTTTTTACTGACTTACATTGGGTCAAATGTTATTTATTTTATTAGGAAATTGGTTACTGACTTAACACGATTAAGCTTTCATGTTTTAAATGAACCCGTACACTCAGGAGAAGGGCATGGAAGAGCAGTTCCCCTTACCTAGCTGTCTCCTCAAATTGAATGTCATCCACTGAGGCTGTAACACAGGAAACCCCAGCATGTTTCTCAGCTTCAAAAAATAGGCAAAAATGGGCTGGATTAGTAATGTTTGAATATTTCAGCCTAGAGGAAAGGAGTAAAATTTAAGTGGATTTAATTTAGTAACTCATCCTCTCATTCAAGACCACTGTGCCCACACTCTGGATGGTCTGAATCAAAACAGCTCCTTCGCTCTGTAAGTTATATTTCCACTGCATGAAAATTACTGTGGTTTCTTCTGCATTTTAATTCACATCATCTTTGATTTGAAATTCAATACCAGTACCCAGCACATCAAGTTATTCAAATAGCAATTTTAGTAAGTTGGTGCCAACTTTAAAAGTGTTGCTAGGTATTACCTTCCTTTTGTTTTCAAAACAAATCATCGAAGTTGTATCCATTATCCCTCACATCCAGCAGCTAAATGTAGTTAAGCCACTTAGCCAGTGTGAGCACTGAGCGGTATGGGAGACCTGGAGAGCACACCCCAAGTCAGAGAGGAACTTCTCTGGACACCAGAGAAGCACAGTAGGCATTTAGTAAATGTTTGTTATTTTTTATTAGTAGATTCACACCAAACTCACTGTGCATTAACTCTGTTGCAGGAGAGGACTGACGAAGGTGGAGTGGGGGTAGGGAGGAACTCCAGTTATTTTGATGTTCTATGTCTGCATTTCATTTGTTGAGATAGTTTAATTGTTGGTTTCACTTTATATAAAAATATCAGATTTTATTCTCTTTGGGAAAATTTTGGAGATGTGCTTCTGCCAGAATTTGACGAACAGTCACTTAAAACCCAAACAGAATGCATTGGCTCTTTAAGAACCTTTAACCCCATTTTGGAGACTTCACTCCTGGTGCCACATTATGAAAACAGTGAATTATACTGAATTTGTATGCTTTGTGGGTTACTTTAACTGCAATGTATAAGAGGTGAGAAAATCTTCTAAGTATTTAAAGCACTCCTCCCTATGATTCAATTCTGTAGAAAACTAGACATTCTGGTTTTACTAGTTGGAAATAACTGTTCTTCCAAACATGAACATAACATAAACTGAGTTACCAGAAAACTAACCACAGAGCTCTGAGTGATGGAACAGGGAGGATGAGCTTCGCGCCTATAAAATTTAGTGAGAGGAAGGGTACATAAAAATACCAGAGTAGAACACAGGGTGGGCAAAAGTAGGCTTACAGTTGTAATACAAATACATACTACAATAATTAATAAAGAATAACATAAGAATAAACTGTGTTTTATATACTCACAACTGTAAGTCTACTTTTGCTCACCCTCTACTTACTGTGGTATCAATTTAATTCAGTGTATCAGACTTTTGTCAAGTTCCCACTGATTTCCAGAGACTTATCTGCATCAATCTTATCTTTTACCAAGTCTATTCAGTGGCAGAGGGCCAGCCACAGTCATTGACCTTTAAGTGCTTTAAGATTTGCAGAAAACTAATGGACCCTTGCAGATATATTCTGCAAAACATTGACTAAGGAGTACCGAATAACACTCATTCCCATTACCTGACACAAGGGAATGGGATGTTGAGCTTATGAAACTATTCTTGCTAATAAAGTGCTATCAAGCACACCAACATGTTACCAATTCTGAATGATTTAAATGATAAAGTGCAATAACTAATAAAAGTCTACATTTTTATTGTATATATCAGGTATCTACTAAGTATCTGCAGCACTATACTAGATGGCACTAGGGACCAAGAAGAAAAGGACTATGGTAACAGGTAGCATTTGTGAAGCATTTATTACTGGCCAGGCCCTGAGCTAAGAACTTAAGCAAGTCCATTACACGAGGTTGGTACAATTATTAGGTCCATTTTACAAATGAAGAAATCTTGGCTTAGAAAGTTTGTTTCAAAGAAACTCTTATAAATGTTTATTCTCTACCGTAGGTTTGGACACTTCTTACCTCAACGGTTTAAGTTGGAAAGGGCATTGCGATAAAGTTGACCAACGGGTGCACATGTCAACGTGGTTGGAAAGACTTCTCTAAGGAGGTGATATCTAAGCTGAGATGTGATGCGTGGAAGGGGCCAAGAGAAGAATATAATGGCAAAAAGAAAGTCAGGCGCAGAGGGCCTGAGCAGGGGCCACATAAGGGTGTGTTAGGCAACAAATTGAATGCAGAAACAGATCAGAGAAGTGGGTAATCCTCTATTTCACCAGACATTAAAGAGATGTGAGGAAACATAACCAATACCACTCCTTTAAGCACATTTTTGTTACGGTTGAAAATATAGTTCTTTTTTCAATAAAAAAATATGTAATGGGTTCATTCCTGTTCCTTTTAAATGAATTAAGTTTTAAAACTTTCGAATAAGCTAAATATGGCTAAAATAACCCACACAAACAGAAGCTTCCTGGGGTCCCCATATACATACTAGTATTTAATGCGGTCAAGGAGTCCTAAGACTAAACTGTTTGCGAACTACTGGCCTGGGTCATTCCCAGCGTTGGATGAACTAGCTTATGGTCCTGGCTGGTCAGGGCTCACAAGTCAAAACAACCTCCTCTCCTCACTCATCCCGGGTCCTGGTCTTGGCGCGGTGCGGCTGGGGAGCCAGGAGGGGGTCACCCAGGATCCTCCCAAGTCCTGACGCTGCCGTCCTGCATCCCGCCATCCGCACTCCCACATCCCAGCCCGCCTCCTAGTTCCCAGACACCCTGCCATCCCGGACCCTCCTCTGTACCCCCCCCCCCCCGCCGCCGACCCCCTCCCCCCATTCTGGACTCCTTCCTGGCCACCCCGGCCCGCCGCGCCCCTACCTGCCAGGCAGGCGGTGGTGTCAATCCACTTGAGCAGCTGCCCCGCGCTCAGCTCGCCTCGGGAGTTGGCGTGCGCAGGCTGGATGGCCTGGCTCATGTGCACCTCGCGGGGCGCCGGCCTCTCCATGATTCGCCGGAGAGAGAAGCCCCTCCGCCGGCCGAGTGCGCCTGGTCCGCACCGGGCCCTCCCGGATCCAAAGGGCACCCGCGGCGCCGCGCCCTGGCCCCCGTCCCACTCCCTGCCCCGCTGGGTGCTCTGGAAGGTGAGGTTCGGGTGCCAGGAATATCGCCCCGAACATGGCGAGGAGGGCGAGAGCGATCTCTCTTCTGTTTCAGAAGCCAAATCGGGGGCAAAGTACGTTAGCAAAGCCGCGAACAGCCTGGGTTTCCCACCCCTAAAGGGAGGAAAGCAACGCTTATCTCAGGACAGCGCAGAGAATCAAATGGGATAAGGTAGGAAACCCATAGCACGTGCCTGTGTATTTATTTGGTGAGTAAATAGTGAGGGCTGAAGAACTTGACAGGTGATGAAGAGTTAAGAATTGGTTAGTTAAACGATGTCCAGAGAATGAAGGCCTTTTGCTTTAGACCAGTGGTTCTCAACCTTGGCTGCACATTAGAATCACCTGGGAATCTTTTTAAAATCCTGATTTCTGGGCCTCATCCTCCGGAAATTCTGTTTCTTTGTTATGGGGTGGGGCCACAGAACCACTGCTGTAGACGCTGTTTTAGAGTCTTTTTTTTTTTTGGCCTGGCTGTTGACTGCCAGATAGAGTGAGTACCCACGCCTCAAGCCTTCATTCAAAATCCACCTTCTGATTCTTAACATATTATAATGGTTCCAAATGATCCTTTGTTGTCGATCGATCATGTTGTTATAGTTACTCCTGCTGCCAAGCAAACAAACAAGCAAACAAAGTCCTGCGTTTTGCAGACACATCAGGGTCACTTAACAAACATAGGCAGCCTTTTGGTTTTAATCTAGAGAATTTATGGTTAGAAACTGTCACCTCATTCCTAATGATGCCAGCAAATCCCAAGAGAATCTCTTCTTCATGGAAGACAAAATGTAGAACATTAAGTGAGAGTTTTCATTCTCAGCCTTTAGCACATAAAAGCCACCACACTTTCTAGAGCCGGAGTGAGTGACTTTACAAAGCCGTTCTCATGAAGGAAAGGGTGACATCAGAAAACCACCAGCATACAGTAGGATTCACAGAGGTCGTATGGTTAGGGGCAGCTGCACCTGGGAGAGCATTTATGAGCGAAGAAACGGAAGCCCAGAGAGCTGAAGCAATGTGCCCGCATGCAGCTAACTGAGTAGGGCAGCGAAGGTAGTAGAGCACCTGGCTTAGCTCAGGGCTCCTGACTGTCCAAAGCAGCTGACCACAAGAGCTAACTGACCCCACAGGTCGGTGGTGCTTTTCCATCCCTGTGTAGATGGCCTGCCAAGCCCCAGCCTGCAGATATCAGAATGCAGATTTGAACTTTTAAAGATTTTTCTTTTTTCAATGAAAAGGAAGGAAACATGGACTTGATCACCTTCAGAATCCTCTCTGAGTAGGTTTCCATCCCATATCAGCATAAGAATTAGATGCATTCAGTTAGGCAAGCATGAAGTTTGCCTTTTATAAAAAGCACAAAAATAACCTTTTTAAGCCAACAAATGAAAGCTTAGGCCGCCAAGATGATCCTCTTACGTAGTTATATAATTATTTCAATGACAATGTTGTTATTCCTATCTCTTCTGGCCCTTCTCTTTGGAAAATGCCTATAGAGTTCTTAATACAATATTGGCAGATTAGATTACTGTTCAGTGAATATTTACTCCATTTTCTGTTAACTTCACGGGAGGCATTTATGCAAGTTGTGCTTGGCCACGTGGCTTGCTTTGAAATGGAGTTCGGGGAAGTAAAAATGCATCAGTTCCAAGCCTAGCCCTTCCAGGCACCACCTGTTCCTGTTCTTGGGAAGGTCTGACCTCTGCCATGAGAAGGTTGTGTGCCTAACTAGCTGCCCATCAGCATCTGGGTGCCAGACTGAGTTCCCATTTTGCAGAGCCGTTCTAGCCAACCTGCAGGTCTGCAGCCTGAAGCTGAGCCGCCCAGCAGACATGCAGACTCGTGAAGGAGACATTGCTTACTGTTGTATGTCACTGTGGTTAGAGAGCTATACATCAATAACTGATGGTTCCATGCATGAATTTCATTAAGATTTTAGGAAATTTATTAAGTTACTGAAAATAGAATTTGTGTTTAGGTTGGGTTGTATTATTTTGGGTTTAAGCCGCTGACAAAGTGGTAGTATTACTATATGCTCATATCCTTGGTTTCTTGTAAACTTGAGGAATTTAAAAGATTTTTTAAGCACAGGTGTGAGAAGTTGGTTTTCCAAAGTGATTATCTGGAAGGGGACAGCTTGTATCTGTATATGAATGTTAGGGATGTCTGATCAAAAAGCAGACATAGTACACAAACTCACCATTGTGTTTTCTTATACGTATTATCTCCTATTTACATGTCTTTTGATTATGGTTTCATATCTTTTGTTGGTTTCACACTGATTTTCATTTTAATAGCCCCAGCCTACAACTACTATTCTTATGTCTTCTGAATGGTCTCTTTTTCTTGTGCACAATGAAAATGTCATTTTTGCTATTATGTCTGAAGAAAAGGCTTCCATTTTCCGTTTCTGTTTAGAGACATCTTTTGAAGATGAGCAGAATGTGAAGCCAGCTTGATTTTTAAAGGTCACGCACAATGCAAGAAAGCTGATTGGGAAGCGTGTGGCAAGTATGATAATGAGAACATCTTCAGAATGTTGGAGTGGGAAGGAAGCCAGGCAGTCTGACCTCCTCATTCTGGAGATGAGAAAATGAAGTGTTTGCCCTGAGTCACACTGCAAGGCAGTGGTCCGGCTTTGGGAAAACTGAGAGCAAGAAGCACTAAGTGTAAGAAGAGGAAAAATGTGCTTCCACCAGAAACAGACCCTCCCACATGAATTTGAGAGCAAGCAGTTTATTTGGGAGGGGAATGCTGGCTCTCAGGCAGAGCTTCGCCTCAGTAGGACATTAGGACACCAGCTTGTGATGGATGCTGGGATGGTGAGTGCCGGAGGGATGCAGGCGAGGCACAGAGAGCCAGGGCACTTCACTGTTCTGAACATCAGAGGCAGCTGGGAGCCTTTCCATTGTAGGAGACGAATCCCAGGCAGAGGGTGAGGTAATTTAAAGTATTTCATGTAGAAATACTTTCTGTGTTTGGAGCCCATGAACAGTTCATGAAAGAAGTACTTCAAGGGAATGCTAGATCATGGCCCATGTTAAGGATTTTTTATATTTGCATTTTTGAGAGATTCTGGTCTATAGTTTTTTCCTTCTGTTTTCTTTTTTTCCCCCCCCCTGCCCCGCCCCCCCCCCCTTCCTTCAACCCCTGTTTTTGTCAGTCTGGAACAAGTCTTCATTTTCATAACCTTGCCACCTTGAAGGTCACAGCTCAGTTATTTCTCAGTTTGGGCTTGCCTGCTATCTTATCATAGCTACATGAAGTTTATGCTTCTTCAGCAGGGATATTAAGGTTGATGCTGGGCATCTTACCTAGTGGTTCAATATGTCCCATTTTTGATGATGTTCATTTTTGTCATTTCATTAAAATGGTGTCTCCAAGCTTTTCTCCTGAAAATTTTCCCATTTGTAGTTAATAAACATTTTGTGTGGAGGTACATTGGAATTATGTAAATACTCATTCCTCAATAAATTTTTGATTTGTTCATTAATTCATTTTTATTTCCATGGATCCATGGTTTCTTATTTTATTCACAGGCATGCCCACTCACAGCGGGACAAGACTTGGCCATGACCCTGCAGCGAGGCCGAGCCTGTGGCTTATGTGAGTGAAGGGCACAGGTCTCACATGGCAGAGCAGCAGGGGCGGCACCCACAGGGCAGTGCTGTGCCCCGAGGGACACTCAGCCAGGGCGTAGTTCCTGGAAAGCTAAAACGAATCTGGGGATCTTGATTCTTTAATTCAGGAAGAGGAATTTCCTGGTGGCAAATGGATAATATTTATCCCCATTAGAAAGCATCAATCTGCCCTGAAGAGACCGTCAGATTACATTTTAGGGATGAAACAAGATTAGTTCTGACAGGTATATAGATCCTCCAAGAACGTGCAACAACTCCTCATACAACAGCCTAAAAACATTCTTTCTGACAGTTTGACATTTTGTAAAAAAGGCTTTATGATTGAGCATGATAATATACTGCCTTAAATTTTATAATTGTTTAATACAAGCATGATTTTTTTCTTCAAAGAGATTAATCTATTCATTCAACGCAAATTATTTTGAAAGCCTAATATTGTATTGACCAGACACTGGGCTAAGCATAAAGGAAGGCTCCTGTTCTCAGGGCACTCTTAGTCTGGTGGGGAAGACAGATGAACAAACTGTTATGGCCAAGGTGATCCTGGGGGGGGGGGGGGGCAGGCGGGGGGGAGTGGAGGGGGAGGGGTGAAAGGATTGAGAAAAGACAGACAAGAGAATGAAAGTTGGGTCTCGGTGGGACGCTGCTCCCCGATGAGGAGACAGCGCCAGCGCCCACAAGCCGTGTCTTTATTTTATAGCAGATGCCACGAGGCAAAGTAGGGGCGTGATCACGTTGTTTACAGCATTCTCGTGAGTTTCAACCCTACTCAACTACATGCACCTGAACTCTAGCACAAGGCACGAGGGGCCACGTGTTCGGACCATAGGTTCAAGCTTACAACCACAGCCGTTGGCTATGATTGTGCTGGGAGGGCCCTGACCTCCAGCTGGGACTTGCACGTGGCAATGAGAGGACCCTGTCCTTTCATTAGTCCGAGGCTTGAACCTGGCCAAAACACTGTAGCCGCGCCCCATAACAAACCAGTAGTGTGGTGTGGTAAGGGCGTATCAAAAGATACAGCATGCAGTACCCTGGGAATACAGAGGGAGGCTCTCCTCCACCTGGCCATCCCCAGACAGTCTTCCTCACTCTGTCAATCAAGCAGCAGGACCTAAGCATCCTAAGCAAAGGGAAGTGCTTTAGGGCTCCCAGGATTGACTAGATCTGAAAAGCCAGGCAGTGGGCAGGAGCACAGCAAAAGCTGCTTATGAAGATGCTGGTATGGTCCTGTCCCTGCTCCTTCCTTCCTTGTGGAACTGGGTCAAGATGGAAAGTCTCAGGAGAGAGCTTCCACCTGGCTAAGCCATGACCCTAGGGCTGGGGCAGGGAAGGACACAGGGAGGGGTGAAATCTGTTCCTCTCAGTTTCAGCAGAGATGAGATAGGCGGCTGGCATTATCTTCTAAGATTAAACACAGAGGGAGAGAACTTATTCCTTAAAAGGAAAGTGAGTTCTAATTAGAAATGGAAAATAGAAGCTAGGCACATTTTAAAAATTA